CGATGAAGCTAGACTGCGATCATGCAGATGCATAGGAACTTCATCAAGATTTGTTTGATAATCTTTAAGAAGATGACTTTCTTGACTTCGTCGTTGTTGTTCAATATTCCGTGGTGTTCGAGTATATTTTAATTGTGAAAAATAAGGTACCGTTTCAGAAATCATGTCCGGCAATGTATCAGCAAAGACGCGATCAGATAGAAGATTTCGAAGTAGATCCGATAATGTACTACGTAGTAAGTCAGCTTCTTCTTCATTAACTGTTATTCGAGTATTATTATTTGTAGTTAATTCAACTTCTTCATCATTATCTTCGTCGCCCATTAATGGATCGTATTCATTTTTCTTCGAACGTCTTTTGGAAGCTTTACTACCATAATCGCCGCCTAAAAGAAAAATCTTGTTATTATTATCCATTAAGATGAAAATATGTAGACGAAGAAAACAAAAAGTGACCGTCTTAGATTATTTACCTAAGCATGTATCGACAAAGAATTTTTGTAATTCACTTGTATCAGAACATAAGTCAAGATATTCATTGTAAACTAATGTACGTGCTGTAAATGCTAAATGTAATAATTCTGGCATAGGCATTTGTGGTCTTGTATTTTCTTGTCGTTTTGCATTGACACGTAAACGTCTTGTACGATCAACATTACTTTCATCAAGTTCATAATTAACTAAAACCGGTGGTAAAGTTTTACACATTTGTAATGTTGATCCTTGATGAAATTGAGTTTGTACTGTTGACGACTGTTGTTTCTCATTATCATCCAATGTACCACTACGTAGGCATTCTTTATATTCATCGTCGCTGATTTCAAAGGATTCCCATTTCTTTTGTATATTTGTTTCCCATCGTTTTAAATCAAGATTATACTGTTCAAGTGTGGTTTCATTGTATATTTCACAAACAAGATCAATATCGTGAAATGCTGGTGCTTCAATAGCCATAAATGTTACTTTTATTGGTAATGATTGTCGAGGTTGAATTTTCCCTCGAACTGAAACACAGAAAATATCTAAATTGATTCAAATGAAAGCAAATTCATACAAACCTGGTTGAATTCTTATATGTCGAACTTGTTCAGGATTTGTTACATGCCAAATGAATGAAATCGAATCTTTATTTGATCGATTTTTAAGAAAAGTAATATGACGTCGTTTAGTAAATAATGGTAAATTACCAAAATTTATACGATCAATAGTTAATGATGCTAAACGATCATCTAAATTTAGTTGTTTGGTCATTTCATTATTGTCTACCAATGATTTTGACACGTCTGAATCTACATCACGTTTATCAAAACCATGACCAATAAATGTAATTAATGCTGGATCACAATTTTCCAAATCAATCTTGATATTGAATACATATTCACGAGCTTCAAGTGGATTAAACACCCATTGTGTTACAAAGCTTTTATTTGGCACGATAGTGCCTTCTGGTGTAAGACAATCAAGAACCCAAAAGCCATAATTTGAAGATGAGATCTGTTCTAATTGACTCATATCAACCTGAAATATAAGTAGAGTTATGAGAATGAATTTTCAGGCTTCCGATACGAATCTAGAGACAGACTGCAAAAATATACTTTGAAATGTTTAGTTATAGTAAAAGCAATGACTTAGTGTTATATTTTCGACCGATATTACAGAGCCTAATTCTCTTCTTCTTTTTTAAACGTATGTCAAACGGAAATAGACATATTTGCCGATCTGATAAGTCAGTTGTTTAAAAACGTACGTTATTTTACTAAAATAGTTTGATAGAAATATTTCTACCTGAAAATGAATTGGTACTGTACCACCATTCCATAATTCATATTGTTGTACAGGTGCTCCTTGTGCACCTAATTCAACTGGTAATAAATGATGTATAGTTGAATAAAATTGAATATATCTTTCGCCTGGTTCAACACTTATACCAACTAAGTTTAGCATAATTTGTCGACCACGACCTACTTTAAATATTGCTGGTAGTGTGTGTTGACCAGCAAAAATATGTTTATATGTTATGGTTATTGTAACATTTGAGCCTTTGTTCAAAGTTCCTTTTTTGGGATTAATACAAAATATTTTATTGTCTTGTAATTTCATTTCATTTAATTCGTCTTCTGTAAAATCTCCTGTACGTGCCCAATATTCTAATTCACATTGTAAATCTTTGGGAAAAAGAAATGACCATGTTGTATCAAGATCACTACAATTTTCAAGTAATAAATGAACTTCGGATGGTGCTGAGTTAATTGGTGCAGCATTGAAATTAAATATAATCGCTTCGGGTTGCTCAAGTGGTGGCAACGGCGATGGGGCACCATTTTCTAGTTTCGTTTTTCTATATTTATTTACTTTTGTTGAACAGATGTCTTCACGAGGTGAATTAATAGCGTATGTTAATTCATCAGCAGTAGGCTCTTTTGCTAGTAATGCATTTATTTTTGCTATGTTAAACGCTTTCGAGAGAAGATTTTTACTCAATGATGCCGATTGTTGTGTACCAAGTATATCCATGAATGCTAAATGTGGATATACGCCATGCACAGTCAATGTACATAAATGATGTTGATGGCCACTTAAACGTTGATTATTATCATCTAATAATTCATAGGATAGCTCTATTTGATAATAGGATCGACTAAATGGATGTATACGACATGGTACGCAAATTTTAGCTTTACCATCAACTTCACCTAGTCCATTCGGATTGGATATAAATTCAAGTATAGAGACTTCTTCAAGTTCCATTGAATAATCATTATCTTTTCTTTTATTTTCTAATATTGTTTGTTTCGTATAAATACGATATCGAAGTAGACAATCACTACCATTGGTTATATACAGATCGTACGTTGCTGATGTACCCAAAGCAATAGGACCCATATCACGATGTAATTCACTTGCACGTAGATAACCATCACGTGTCGATGCATGTATAGTTATATGATAGATTTCCGCTCCTTGTTTCGTACGATCACCAGTCCAACAATTTAATTTAGCTGGCATAGAAATTTTACATTCATCTTTTGGTTTATATGTAATAGTAAAATCTTTTTCTTCGTACGGTTTAATATAACCATTCATTGGTTCAACACATATTGAACTTATATTATGATCTAATGTCCAATTGAATTCTAATTGTGAACGTGTTAAAGATTTTAATTGTAAATGTGTTTCAGAACTTAAACCAATACATGTTGTCAATGCATGAATATGACCATCGTTTGGTATTAATAATCGAGCTTTTTCTTGTGTAGCAAATACATTTAGAACTTTATCAAATTTGTCGCGTTCATTTAAACGTACAATAATACGTTCTTGATAAATTTCATTGTTGCCACTTGTCTGTATTGGTTTATAACGAACAATTATAATTGTGTAATCACCTGGCTTAAGATATCCACGCGATGGTTTAAATGTAAAATTATTTGCTGGTGTTTGTTCATCGTTGGATGAAAGAAATCGATAAATTATTGGTGTTGTACCATTGTTGGTTAATGTTAATGTTTGATAGATTGATGTTTGATCACCGATTGGTGGAAATATAAGAATATCACGATCAAATTGGCATATAGGTAAAATTTCATGATTGACTCGTAATGTATTACCAACACAATTTAAATCTAATTGTACCGGTGCCATAACACCATAATCAGGTACAAGTGTAAAATCACGTTGATTTTTATAGAAAACATAACCTTCGAAATGTTTTGTATAAAATGTATCGACAACTGTTGGTCGAAATATAACACGAAATGCTGTAGATTTCAATGGTAGAATTTCTGCTTCGATTGGTGAAATAGAAAAAACCGACGAATCTGCTGTAAACCAGACAAGTGTCAGTTTTCCTCGTGTTAAATTTGTTATAGTTAAACTTTGTTGCCATTCACTAGTTGAGTCCAATGAACATTGATCAAACATAAAACTTGTTTCACTTAATGTTACGTATTCAAATCGTGTATTATCTTCATTTGAAAACCAATATAAATAATTCTCTTTTAATGGATTAGTCAATGGGGGTATAATATAATCATGTTCATCTTTGACGAATTTAATATCACTGATTAAAGATGTATCTGTGGTTTCCATTATTGATCCGTGACCGTCTAAAACTAATCGACCACGTTTTAAATAATCACCTAAGATTTCAAATGGATACAATGCTAGATGACGTGAAACTTGTTGTTTAAAATTTGATATAAAACGATCGTTTAATACAGGCGGTTTACCAGTATCAGAATGGCATGTACCAATTAATTCAAGAAGAATAGGTGATTGATGTTCGATGAGAATAGGAACAATTTTATAATATCCCATTGGATATTGAGGTGTAAATGTAATAATTATACTTAATTTCGATCCGTCACCTATTAAAGTACCATTTTCAATTGCAAAATGAAATGGACTATCTGCAGATGTATAGATTTGAAAACGTGCTGAGCTTCCTTCTCGTGAATTATATATTTCAATGATGCGACTTGTTTTGCTATTCTATAAATAAAAGAGAAACAAATTTTTTTTCAATAACAAAATATATTCATATAAATGTAAGACAAAATCACAAATCATATTTTTTCAAAAATATCAACAAACGTCTTTCAATTCATTGATTATTGTTGACGTTAGATTATTTGCATAACTTGAACTCTAGAGAGTCAAAGATTTTATATTTATGTTTCAGGATAGAAATTAATCTAGTGGTTTATTTATGTAAACTTTCGAATCAAAATTCCAGTTAAAAAGCATTTGAAACTATGTTTGTTTATTTACTGCTCTTACGAACAATCTTTGAAATATTGATAAAACTCCCTTGACTCTTGTGTTTATCCGACGAACAAAAATAAGAACATAAATCAATAGAACAAATCAATACTCAGTAATAGAGATGAAGCACTCAGTTATATTTGTCAAGATATAAAAACTACGATTTTGTCTTTTCAAAACTAACTGAGAACACATTCAGGATGAAATATGCCAAGCAACCATTTCTATATCTTACCGCTAATACTTGTCCGAATGTAATTTTTTGATAATTAATTTTAATTATGTTTCCCATCGCTTTTCCACTACATTCAACAACAGCCGTTACAAGATTTCCTTGTTGCGTGTTAACATTAAAAAAATCTCTATAATATTGTTCACATGCTTTTGGTTGAAATTTTACTGGAATAGTTTGTCGTTTTCCAGCTTCTATTATGCCCTCAGTTTTTCCAAAACGAAATGCTGAATCAAATTTTGCTACACCTGGAACTGATTCAATACGAAATGGTACACGAAATGTTGATTGATTAATTAATACTAATTCACGCTTCGATAAGCCACTCATAGACATATCTCCAAAACATATTAAAGTATTTCCTGTATTTTCATTCATAGCTCCGTCATCTGATCGAACAATAATATGTGGAAATTTTCCAACACCATGTAAACGTAGTTCACATGCGGACTGATTTCCATATATACACGATGCTGCACCAACATAAATTAATGCCCATTGAGGTTGAAACGAACATGTAAACGCTTGTATTCCGCCAACGGGTAAAATACAATCTCGAGGTTCAATTGAAAATGGTTCACTTGTATGCCATTCAATACTAGTTTCTAAATCACCTGTATTACGTAATTTGAACGAACGAATTTGTATATCTTGTACAGCACAATAGCCAAAATCAAGTTCTTTTGGCTCAAGACTTAAACGATACTGTGGTAGCAGGCCAGCAAGTGCAATACGGCGTGGTGTTTGATTAATATAAACAACAAGTTCATCAATATAGGCAATTTTTTCCAATGGACTAAATTGTATAGGTAAACTAAATGTAACTCCTAGAAGAAAATGGGAATACATAAAAGTCAATTTTTCATTTAGCAAATTATATTACCTTGACTTAATGTTAAACGTCGAGGATAAATCGTTTGAAAATATTGTGTTTTAGGTACTTCATATGTGAATGTAAGATTTTTTCCTGATAAATTTTTAAATGTTAAAACTTCTGTATATTCTTCACCAGGTATCCAATTGCGAAAAATACATCGTTTATATGTTTCAATACCATCCCATGTTATTCGTGCATTAGGATTTCGATAGATAAGAGTTTGAGTTGTATCATTCGTTATTTGTACGGGGGAAAGTCCTGGCTGTTTCAGACGAATAAGACCAGGCATGTGTTTTCTATTGTTTTGATATTTTTTTTCAAATAAAAAGTCTTTAGTTTGGTTGTCACAGATTCTTTATTGCTTATAATATCAACCATGTTGCTAGATGATTGTGAAGAGGTCACTTGTCGTTGTAGGATTTTTTCTAGTGATAACAAGAAAAAACAGTAAAATAAAAATAAAATGAAGCAACTAAATATATTTTAAATATAATGTTTAATAATTCGAATTGATGATGTAAATTATTTTAATTGGATTTCGATATTGACCAATCAGTGATCAAATGCAAAAACCTGATGTATCCAGCGTGTCCTTTTTTTATATTGAAGATAACCTTTGTAGGAAAAAATTCTCATGAGCAACAATGTTAAGTGATAAGACTGTTTTTTTTTTGTTATCACAAAAGGCTATAATATTATTCAAAATAAACGTATGCAAACATTATTTTACACATGATAGTTACTGAATCATACGTACTAGGTCATGTGACTTAGTGTATCCGAACACCTTATCGAATAATAATGATGAGAAAGTGAAGTTAATAAAATTTTATATACATGATGTTTGTCTGTCATATATTTCATGAAATCTTATTGTTTACATTACGGACAAAGAAGGTAGTGCTACATCGTTTAATACAAAATAATATGGGAATACAGAACAGTAGCTCGAGTTTTTCTAGATATTCATTCTCGAGGGTGTACTTGATAAACTCTTTTCTTTTAGATGTCTTTTCATTTTTCATCGTATTTTGATTTATTCTGTCGAGGCTTATATGACGCAGTACGGAATTCATTTAATGTGTTGACAATCGATGATGATTTTAGTAAAAAATCATCAGAGAGAACTTCTACTAAACAACATCCACATCAACCAAAACCTAAAAATAGTTCTTCATCATCATCGGACACAAAACGTGTGAAATCAAACTTAGCGCTTCTATGTTTGTTCAATGGTGGCATACTTCTGTGTGGCATGCTTTGTTTCAATTATCTTTTTCTACCTATATTTCGTCGACTATTTAATACATTAGCTGGATTAGATTCATCATCATCATCTACGCCATTGCTAATCATACAACATGTATTAACTTATACATTTAATTTTCTATGGCTTATACCAGCATTTGTCATATCGAAATTTGTTAATTCATATTGGTTTCGAGATATAGCTGATGTTGTCTATAAAAAATTAACAAATCAAAATAAAACCTTACCAGCATTAACATTTTCACGTTCAATTAGTGATATAACATTTAGTTTAGTTATGCAAGTATTTTTTGTTATACAATCAACATTAATATTACTTATACCTGTTCCTATACTTAATACGATATTCGGTAATATATGTCTTTGTTTACTCTATTCCTTTTATGCGTTCGAATATGCGTGGATATACGCTAATTTAAATGTTAAACAACGCGTTGAACGTATTGAGTCCTATTGGCCCTATTTTCTTGGTTTTGGTTTTCCGTTAACAATACTTTCAACACAACTTTTTAAATCAGTTATTGTTAATGAATGTATTTTTTCGATCTTATTTCCATTTGCGATTGTTGCAGCAACATCAGTTAATTTTAAAGAGCGTGTTCAAATAGAACAAACACCACAATCGAATATTGTTACATTGAATATATTCGCTGGTTGTATTCGTTTAACAAGTCGTCTATTTGATATGCTCAAAACGAACCATCCTTCAACTACAGTTCAATGATAAATAAAGATTCTATTTATTGTCACCGGTGAATTTTGTCATTTGTACTTATTGGCATCGAACTTGTTATATGATTTATGCACATTTTGCTTATCTTACTATGTATATTTTGAGAATGTTAGCGAACACATTTTACGAGACAAACTTTGTAAATTTATTTCCTATACAAGCATGATTCTTGAAAAAGAAGAAAACAAACTTTATTATTTATTCTACGCAGAAATTTTAAGATGATAGATGCTACCAATAGGAATATAGCTTTTTTTTAGCATAAAAATAAAATATATTTTTACATAGATTTAATATCCTAACGAAAAGAAGTTGTTATTTAATGACGTTGTGTAGATTCAAAAAGTTCAGTAAAATTATTTTCTCATGTTGACTACAAATAGATCTCAAAATAGATAGGTCTTAATGTGCCGCACGAAAGACGAGTATCTTTACAATATGCTGAAAGTGTCAATATAGACTATGTTGTAAATTTTGTCTGCAAGCCTTACAATCAACTGTACTAGTTATGGTTTCTTGAAGTTTTATCTAACTCATATTACTCGGAAGTGAAAATATTTTGTTGACGATGTGAGTAACATAAACAAGTTCCGCTTGAACAATATTTGTTTTCGAGTCATGTTCGATGAAAGAGCACACATGTGACCACCCAGTTCACCACACGCTAGAACCGATTTTTCATTAGACCATTTTTAAATGAGTCCAATTGAAATAGGCTCAGTTCGACTTAACTTAATTTAAAATAGGAATGGAATGACACATTCGAATTTAATAGTATTTATTTTTGATAACAAAATAAAATTTCGTGTATGAAAAAAGTATAAATTCTGTCGTATTTATGGCTTTACAAAAGCATTTTTTATTTTTCGTGATCGATTCTTATTTCTCGTTGATTCCCAACGACGATTATGTGATTCAGCTGGATCAGTTTCTGCTGGATTATCATAAACAGTAGTAATGCGTATGTCATCGTTTTGTTGTTGTTGGCCTGCGGCAATGCGTTTGTTAGGATTTCGGTTGATTTTTTCACCTGTATATCCTAAACCGGTTTTATCTTTTTTTGATAATTTTGCACCGTCAGTTGTAAGTGCTTCAGTCATACCTACGACTGATGAACCAAGACCTTCACCATCATGCCATCCAGCAGCTTCTAATAAACGTCGGCCAATACCCTATAATTGAATAAAATGCAAAAAAGATAAAAGCTATTAAAAAGCTCTTACTTTCGTATGTCTTTCAAATGCTCCAACTCGCTTATGTTCTGGATCGGTTTCATTCGATACACGACCTTGACGAAGATCTTCTTCTCGTCGTATATTTTGCAATTCATTTCCAGTGCGATCAGAAGATCCTATCAAATGAAAAATGTTCCGAATAGATAAGCATGATTGTACTATCTGTTATCGATATATATATATATATATATATATATATGCGTACCTGCACTTTCATAATACATGCGCATATCAATATCTATATCATCAGCCATATCCAAACTTTCGAAATCTTGACCTTCATGTTCTTTCCAGAAAACATCATCTGTATAGAATACTAAACCGCTTCCGCCTTTTTCCCATTTTAATTCAATTTTATGTTCAAAAAAATAGGGTGATGTTCGATCTTGTTTTGTTACATCATCATATTGTGCTTCGTGTCGGTCCCATTCTTCAAGTTCATCTTCTTCTTCATCAAGTTTTTTATCTTCTTCTGATGTTAACATTTCATCTTTGCCACGTTCCTTCTTCTCCTAAAGATGAATATAAATTAAACAAAAGAATAATCAAAAAATGTTCATACTCTTTCTTGATTAAGTTTATCAATTGCTGTTTTATCTTGTTCAGAGAGAATTTCATGGCCTTGGCCCGTTTTTAATTCCATTTCATCGACACCTTCTTCTTCTTCTTCTTCTTCTTCTTCAAATTCATCAATAATCGTACCATAATCAAACCCAACAGAGCCATATTTTCGTTTAGATCGACATTTAGGAAAAACTAGTCCTAATTTTTCTGTCGACAAATAAATGATTGATTCAAAAAAAATCAAAGTAAATTATTTTGGTACTTACTAATAATTGTCGAAGGTAATCGGCATGCATTTATTTCATTGAGAAAATATAATGTTGATGTTCCAACATTACCTTGCGGATAAAGATATTTCGGAGGTTTGAATTCAACTAGTTGATTAGTTATGGTTGAATCTAGATGAACATAGAACTTTTGAATTTCGAATATTAAATCATCGGTAATATGCATTTACCATTATCTTCATTTGTAACTTTACTAATAAGACAAATCGATGATAAATAATTGCCTTTGACATTTATCCAATGTTTTCGATGATAAAGACGTATAAATTCATTTAAACGCTTATTATAAACTTGTATAAAACACATTTGCGCTGCACTAACAGTATTTTCTGATGATGTCGGCATAGGCCGATGACGAAAATGAAAACATCGAAAGGCTTGTGTTTCCACAAATAATGAAAAAAAATTTCTTAAATCAGCTGAACGAAATGATTTAGGTATAGCGGATACAAGTACGTTGGTAAATGATTCATCAGTTGTTGTACTACTAGTTACTGTAGATGTCATGAATATCTGCAAACAGAAAGATTCTTTCCCAATATTTTATTATAATTTGTTTTGAACAAAAAAAAATCAAAAGAAAAACATTTTCTTTGAGATTTTTAAATGACAACGCAATTTAGCAAAACAGCACACACAATTGACAATAGACTAAGAGAATTATTTATAAATAAACAGAAAAACTCAGTATGTTAATAATCAATTCACATCGCTTCGAATTCATCAATACGTCGTTTAACTATAAAGACGACATAAAAAACAAAATAGAATAGTACTATTATAAAGAACTTACCCGTTCCTTGACGGATCTTCTTTAGTGTTTGATATTTATCGATACCTTGATCAAAAATATTCTCCCGATAGATCTTATCTTCGCGTGTCTCGGCTTTTTGTTGTTGCTGTCGAAGACATTTTCGTTCTTCCTATATTACAAATAAAGCCATCAATTAAAATAAAAGAAACAACAATTCATTTTTTTCCCAATATTTGATAATAATCCTATGTAATTACATAGAAGCAAAGCTAATGTGAACCAATTTCCCATCAATCATCAATATAAGAATAAAACTTGATAAGTGTATATGTGTGCAAGTAGGTGTTTATTTCCAAGATCAACGAGCAAGATCGTACGGAAAAAAATAGGAACTAATAAACCAAAAAAAAAAAAGAAAAAAGAAAGAAAAAGCAATGAGGAAATAAAAGAAAAAGTAAACATGATGAAATTTTCAGTTTTTTTTAAACTACATACGCACACACACACAGGCACACTTTTTAAGATATCAAAGAAAAAGGTAGACTTTTTCGTTTTCTTCACGAATAATAGATACAAGACAACTTTAAGTTAGACCAACGTTCTCAACGAAAAGAAGAAAGAAATCGGATGTGATAGCCGATCAATTGGTTCAAACGGTTAAGACGACTCGGTTTTTTGGAATGATGATAATCGTAATATGATTGTTCGATTTCGCTGCTTAATGTTTATAGAAGAGCAAAGAAGAAAAAAAACGAAACACGAAAAGAAAATAACAGCATCCCACACATGCGCGCGCACAGACACAAGAAAAAAATTAAGGAAACGCACTTAATGTAATGATCATTGGAATGATAAAAAAAAAACAAAGAAAGGAATGATAAGAGAAAATTTTCGATGTTTGTTTCTTTTATTTTTACATAGACTCGAATTCGTCGATACGTTTTTTCGTATTGCCCTGTCGAATCATCTTTAATGTTTTGTATTTGTCTCGACCTGAGGCAACATTTTGTTGATGTAAACGATCATTATCGGTAACCTTGCTGGAATTTTGAACAGAACCCAATTCGTCTTTGAGAGCCTGAAGCAGTAATAGAGCAAAGTGCGTGAACATGTGAATAATCATTTAGTGACAAAAAAAAAGCAAGAAGATCTTCTAAAATCCCGAAAGATCAAAATAAAAATATTTACCTCAAGTTTTCGTTTCATATTAAGATCTTTTGTTGTAGCAGTAGTACGATTTTCTTCATGACGTGAAGCATATTCATTTGTAAGAAGTTCCACGCCTCGTCCATTACGACTTGAATTATTTTCTTCTTCATCACTTTCTTCATCTTCCATTGGATTTCCATATTCGCCGGGATGTTCTGTATAATGATTATTATTAGTATGATTATTAGGATGTTGTTGAGCTTGAAGTACCTAAATATAACATGCAGATTATAATTTGCTCAAGAAAATTCTAAATAGGTTATTGTCTGAGTATTTTCCTTTTCCCGGTTTAGTTTCAAGTTACATTGCCTACCAAAGGACGAGAAGGTCCTCGTTTATAGTGACGATGCTGCAAGAAAGAAAACAAAGAAGGCCCTTTTATATATATGTATACGGTCTCGTGCAAAAGAAGTGATGGTTTTATTTCGAAAATGGAATTTCAAATTACCGATTTCTGGAATGAAACAAAAGACTCTTTGTTTTTATTCTAGGATATATTTAACTTCGTATGAAGACAAATTACGTACTCTCAGTTTAGCTTCACGTAATTGTTCTTCCAGTTCTCGGGCTTCATTCTCTTTTTGTTGAGCTTCAACAGCTTTTTGGTCAGCTAATCGACGAGCTTGTTCAATTTCTTGCACCTAGAAAAATAGGATATTTTTCTAAACAATGCATCTTATCAATAAGTAATGTATGAATGTTAATGTTTGTCGTTTTGACTCTCTGTCATGTCAATTTTATTGTTTATACATGCATCATTTTATCTTCGTGAAACATGCATTCTTCAAGTTTTATATTTATACCCAAGAACGAACAGAATTGTTTAAATGATATATATGCTGAAATAGTTTATAAAATCATAATAGGAAATTTTAAAAAGAGAGAAGAATTTTGTTTTTGAAGATTTTTTTATCAAAGATTTATTTTTCTATAGCCAATAGGAGAAGACGTACGACTTATTTTATCACCTCATTACGAATACGCAAAGATATGATTTAAAAGATTAAGATTTATCTATGTGCTATTATCACAATAAAGAATTATCAATAGAAACAAATGTCGCATCTTCGATGAGACATACGCCAAGCTCTAGTCATGATAGATCAATATACAAGAACGGAAAAGTATTATTAAATTTCTTGCGCTCACATTAAGCAAGCAACCTAACTTTAGTTAGATGACACTTGATTAACAATTATCAATCTATATAGTTTTAGTAAAATTCATATTTCATTATGGCAAAAGCTCACGTACAATTTTATCCTTTTCTTCTTGTTCATATCGAACGCGTTCCATCATTCTTTCATGTTCTCTTTCGGCTTCTTCTCGTTCTTGTTTCAAACGTAATTGAGCTTCTTCTGCTTGTTTTCGTTTTTCTTCTAATTCTTTCGTTATACGACTTTGATCTTCCAAAGCTAAAAGAAACAAAAGAAAACATCCAATGAATTTCATCGAAATAAATCCAAAATAAACTGAAACACGCAAATCATCATAACAAAAAAGAGATTCATTAACAGAATAATGACTAATGATTGAAATCAAGCAGCTTTTTTTAATGATACAGCGTCTCACATTAAGTCACAATAGACTAGAAATACATGCTAATTGGTTGTTTGAAATATGATAAAATGTTAAGATATACGTTGCAGTAATGGGACCGGTTCGGTCCCAAATATTGGGCACTGATTTCACCTAAATATATATTCGAATATATTTGTAAACCTGTTCATTTCAAGTGAATGAAGAAAGTATAGCACATTTTTTATGGCTTACTTACCTGTTTCATAAATCTTCAGAGACGAACAATAGTTTTGCTCATCATTCTGTATATATTTTTATAGACAACCTTTTAGGAGCAAGCGCTAATATACAAACAAATATTAATTGGTCATCAATTTTCGTTATTATTCAATTGACTAATTAAACCTCGCTCTGTTTCGAACTTCAAAATTATCTTTAAAATATAGCAAATAAAGTTACATAAAAAGAATCTAATTAATATTTCAAAATGAATAATTTTTCTGAGCTTTTTAGATCTTTCAAGTTTAGCCAGTCATAGTTGTTATTACTTTTTAAACTGTAAGAAACGAAATGAAATTTGAAATTTTGACTAAATCTTTCGATCTTGTAGAACTATACTTTCATCTTGCATAGATGCGCTTCCCATCATCATTACGCTATTATTTTCAAGTGCTCAATCACTCCGAAATGATAAACTAGACAAGTACATAACAAAGACGGAAAAGCATAACATATATAAATTATTTCTTAAAACCTAGGCTATATGACACTTTCACCAGACGACATTCAAAGAATAAGAGCATGCTAGTTGAAACAAATTCTGTCCTTTGTACTAAACGACGAACGAAAATGTAGTGAATCGTTCATGATTAACAAAGAAATGAATGCATATCCACTAAACATACGCTGCAGGCTTTTTTAACGGAAAGATATTTCTAAAATAGAAGTAAAATGCGTATGCTTTTAACATTATTTGCAGCTCAGTATTCTGGGTCTCTCTTGCAACTATAGAAAGCGTTATAATAATATCTCCAATAAGTTGTTCTAAGTGAATATTCCAAAAAAAGAACTAGAAATGAAAACTCTTTTTCTTTATTATTTAGTCGGTTCGGTTCGGTTCCAAAAAAACACAAACCGATCCCATCACTGATACGTTGAAATAATATTCACCTCGTCGAGCTTCGGCTGCACTACGTTCAAGATCGTCAACTTTTCTTCTCATTGCTTCACGTTCTTGTTCAGCTTGTTTACGACGTTCAATTTCAGCTTGAATTCGTTCTCTGAAGGAAAAAAGAACAATTATATTGTGTTTCTTTGTGGGAAGATGAAAACTACCTTTCTTGTAGACGAGCCATTTTTTCTTCTTGAGCTTGTGCCTTCATTTGTTGTACTTCAATTGAATCTGCTTTTCGACGACGCATATATAATTCATGGTTACCCATACAAAGTGATAATATTCGTCGATTGATACGAAGTCTTGGTGCATAAAAAATGAAATCTGGTGATTTTCTTTCCATTGGTTTGATAACAAATTTTTTATCGTTGAATGATATATTTCTTATTTCACTCCATGGAAAGCCAATTTTAGGTGTTAATCTAAATATAAATTAAAATCAGTAGAGATTTTTTTTTAAAACAATACTATTACCTGTCTTGTTTATCATATATATTAAGGCCGAGTGCATCAACACCAAGATAAAGTTCAGTACCTTTTTTATTACGAATATCGAAATAGTTGACACCATACATTTCAAGATCCTGAGCAATCTTAAGATATTCGAGCATTGCTTCTTCTCTGAAGCGGGAAAAAAGAAGTGTTAACTGTAATTCGGACATTTAATTTATTTACTTGAGCATTCCCCGATGTTCTTTCCACCAGTTGACAACACGCTTTTCCCATTCTTCCGGTGACAATTGAAATTGTTCCATGACACGTTTGGGCAAAAGACGTTCGTTAACTAACGATCCAGGTCGGTGATTTTCATCATTGAAATCACCATGTTTAGCTTGCATTGCATAGGATGCAAGTAGAACACATGTTTCCGGTGGACAATAGATTTCTTCCGTAAGAATTGATTCTTTGACTTGAAGAAAAAATAATTTCTATGAAACAAAATATATATAAACGACGAATTATTTAGAATAATTTTCTTTTGAGATTTATACTTGTGTTATTTCTTGAATGAGTTCTTCGGATACTTCTTCAGGAAAGAAACGAGCACGAAATTTGAATGTTAATGTTTGCGGTGAATTCTTTTTTATATCTTGACCTAACACTTTTTTATTTAATTTTAGCCAACATGGAAAATCTTTTGAATCCGTATATTGAAGGCCAAAAAACCATATTTCACGAAGAGCAATTGTTTTCACAACCTAAAAAGAAATATTGAAGAGACCCTCATTCATTTAATAGAAAATGCCAGAGAAAGATTTTTAAACTCTTCAGACTTTAATCTAGCAGACAAACTCTCCAAATGTTATGATAAACATACGGAAATAACAGTCTGCATTAGACTCGAACCATATTCATATCAAATTTTACACCATTCAACTAAAAATCCCTTACTTGATCGAATAGTTGCTTGCCAGTTGTATTTGGTTGTATGGCAAATTCAAGTTCAGAGTCCATTGTAAGTACTCGAACGTTAACCTAGAATAGATAGTGCGTAATTTAAAAATAAAAAAATCGATTATTTGATATCCTAATTAAAACAGTTGCCAATGGTTTGGATACTCGAATAAAAATAAAATTTTAAAGCTAGTATTAAATCAATTGAATCTAAAATATCATTCATTGGTCAATAACTATAGATTCACTAGTGAATTTAATCAATGAAAATTTCCTAAATCTGATTGATATAATAGAAGCGAAATATAACGTAGATTTCAATAAGACGTAAGTAGTTCACTTATGGATGAGGACTCTCGTTTTCCTATCGAAGAAGCTGACTGGTGTTTTCGTTAAGAAATTTTATTGTAAAATAAAAATTCGACAACAATATGAATTGATTTGGCTTCGTTCAATAGATGTAAATATTTCTTACTTTCATATTCAAAAGAGAATCCATATGAATAAGTCTGATATAATTCATATGAGAACTACTTCAACAGCTTGCGAATTTAGATTAATACGCTTATTGAACTCACACTATCATGATGTTTCATGAAAACATTGACATTTATCTAACCAAATCACATCAGTTGAAATCCTATTAGAATTAAGTCTCTGAAAAGTTTACTACATATTAAAATACAATCCGATGATCACTTGAAAGTTTCTCGTCTCATAAAAGTGATACCACAAATCAATAATATTCTATGCTAACAAAAAAAAACTAGTCATGTAAGTGACCCTGGACAAAGTCAGACGAAGTTCAACTAAGCAAAATAATTTCATTTTAAAATCTTTATTTTAAACTTCAGACATGAAAAATATTTCTATTAGAAACCAATTATCTTCAACTGTCCATGGGAAAACCTTTGAACCGTATCCAATTTTGGTCAATTCAAATCGATAATTATCAAGAGAAAATATCGATTATTAAAAATTCAAACAACCCCGTTGTCGGATGAGCAGTTTTATGTTTCTGCTGTTCAGTAGTTCTGAACAATCATTATTAGAAATAGATATAAAATGATTTCAATAATAAAAATCATAGGATTGGTACAGTTGAAATATCAAACAAAATTTGAATGGGACAAATAGATTCGATTATAAATCGATCATAACCATTAAAAGGTTCATTAACGAATTCAAATTACAAATCTGTCTGATTGAAAATCAAGTTTACTCAATAGGTATTTTGTCGAAATAATAGAGATTCATATAATCCTTTCGACAAAAAAAAAACAAACGCAAACTGACGTCTTTGAAATGCTATATTTTCATTCATTTAATCGATGACAATGAGAAATCATTCATCAAATAAAATAATTCAATTTGAACTTACCGCTTTTGGTGACATTGCTAAAGTTTTTGTTGTCTGTGTATAAATGTGTTTGTGTACGTGTAGTTTATTTCAAAAGCTTAATCGATATTGTTCAAAAATATTTTATACATAGAGATATCGTCTATCGGCCGTCGTCCACAATGTATATGTGTTTATCTAAAACGATCGACTGAAAAGAGAAAAGAAAAAAAGTTTGCAGGACGAGAAGAAAAGAATACGAAGAAGAAATGCAATGTATGTCAATAGGACTGCTTTTAAAATCAGTGGAAGAAGAAGAAAAGCAGCTGTGATTCACTTCTGATGTCACATCCTGAAACGTAATATACCGCTTAGTAATGTTAGGTTGTAATAGTAATAATAGAGAGACGAAATCAGTGCATACAATAGTTTTTAGGCTATTTGATCTAAGTCGATGAACAAATGGGTGTACAAGACGAACAAACATGACATAACACGAAGCAACAATGACTCCCTATTCTTCGTATGTAATCGACCGGTAGATTGATTGCTAGCACTAAGGGATCATGAGCTATAACTTTCAAACAAAATGCACGTGCTAAAATAAAAAATGTATAAAGTATTAAATCAATAATGGAGTACTAATAATTGTTCGAGTTTTACTAATCGATAGAAAGAGAATGATCTAGAGACTTTTTTTTTTGATTTTAGAACTTGTTTTAAGACACACATACTCATATAATTTGTCACAACTATTGCTATGTCTGGCGAATAATAAAACAAGAAGAAGAAAAGAAAGAGCGGATCAACTATTTGAAAGAAAAATGAATATAGCAACAAAAATGTAAAATATTTCAGCTTAAGAAACTTGTCCGAAACGTGATTACGTGTGAGAACGCGAGCTGAAGGCCATATTCTTATCATTTTTCTACACAGTTGAATATTTGTTATAGAGCTTTTATTCAATAAAATAAAACAAACTAAACTATGTAGCTATCAGTCTATTTTCTAAATACTTCTCTTGCTCCATTGACATAACAAAATGAACATTCTTGTTAGTTATTCTTTTCAAGAGATTGATGACAGAGTGAAATTGTGCGTCATCTTGACCTATTCCTATATATGTATGTATATACATTTATAGGAATAGGCTCTGAATGAATAATGAATAAATGAAATGTTATTATAAAGCGATACTATCAGTTCAATGGTATCATCGCTTCGCATTTCTCGTCTATTTTTATGACTCTCCGTTCTTTACTTCTATTTCTCTCTCTCTCTCTCTGTTCAAGTATGTTTTAAATTCAGGTCAATAGTATAAGTACCACTGGCACAATTTGTATGTAATTTATGTCTAACACGCGAACAAACAGACTATCGAATTATGTCCAGCATATATTCATCTATTCAATGTTCTGCAAACATTATATAACTATTAGTAAACTCACCCAATTGCATATATATATATATATATATATATTACAGCATGTTGTTGTTGTTATTGTTTTTTACAAAACTCGAAACAGCTTAAGAGGTCAAAATCAAGAGAAAAAGGCGAAAGAAGAAATAAAATTGAAAATTCTAAATAAATAGCACTGATCTCTATTTTTGCATGTATCTAGGATTAAGTCTCATGCATGTTGTTTCGCATTTATCTTAAGACGGTGATAGCCACTATTGCCGCCGCTTTAACAAAAGCAGTAGAGTGAACAAACAACTGAAGAGAGTGAAGAGAAAAAAAAGAAAGATAAGAAGAAAGTCAATTGTGTACGTGAAAGAGAGAGAGAGAGAGAAGTAGCAGACAGATACACAATAAATAATACAGACGAACAGCGGCGTCGGGGAGGCCCCGTAAGATTTCAACCATTAATTTACTGTATCGAAAGAGAGAATTTTTCGTTTACCTATGTCGTACGTTTGAAGGGAAAGAAAAAAAATGAGAAGAACGAACGAACAAACGATACACAAAATATACGTTGTTTCTTCTTCTTCTTCTTCTCCTTCGTTTCTTCTAATGAGGTCGAATACGAAAAAATGGATCTATACATATATGTGATGATAACGTGTCAATTTTGCTACAATTTTATCTTTTTTTTCTTATTCGATTGTTCAAGTTAAAAAGAATATTCAAATAAGTAAATGGTATCGATCAAGCTAATTTATTCAGTGTCGTCTGCGATGAAAAATGAGACAAAAGAAAAATAATGAATGACCGATCTTGAGGACAGACAGAGAAAACAAAGATGAAGACATAAAATGAATTGAGTTGCCTCTTGTCACGACTTGAGACGGACCTATGTATATATATATATTCATATGCCTTGAAGGTGTCAATACAATAAAATAAGTGTAGATGAAGGAATATTTTTGGCAACTATCAGAAGAAAACATATTTTCAAATGAATGATTTACTGGAGAAGAGAAAAATGTGGAAAATTTAATCAGAAGAAACACAGGAAAAGTCAAACCTGCATAGAGTAAAAATACGTTTGTTAATTATTCAACAATAGACCATTTCTACATCAATCGATTCAACTATAATAATATGGCGTAGATACATATAAAGCAAACGAACAAAAACATGAGCAAATCACTGAATGAATATTTTTTTACTTACCTTGATGACTCATAAACTTCTTTATATGTCTATCAAAATAAATTAGCCAATCAAAATTGGATTATTGGAGGCAAAAACAAGTCATTCATGTCGTTGCTATTTTCTTGTTATAATTGAAACCGTATATTGTATCACAAATGTTTTCTGTGTTTATCGAAATCTTAAATATACTGAAGTATTTTTAATTCATTCAAATAAAAAAGAAAACGAAGTGTAGATTGTAAAACATGTTTGCCATTGAAGCAAATTAAAGTTCAGGTAGTTTTTTAGATTACCACAATAATTTATTCTTTCAAAGTAATAGGTAAAGGTGAAATAGTTGATGAAATACCATAGGTAATACTTTATGTTGAAATGTAGAAAAACTACTATTCTAAATTATTTAACAAGAAAATTCAACAGGGAAGTATTCATAGAATATTGACGATGTATTCAAGACGACATATTAAATTTCTTTTTTTCAGATCAAAGGAAGACAAACAATAAGAACATAGAGAGACGTGTGCATGACAAAAACGCATAACACAATAAATTATTTCTATACTTAGAAATCTTTGTTTTTCTTCTTTCAACACATAGAACATAAATTATAATTATAGCTAATAAACTTCAATTTTTTTTCAATACATATGCCGAATAAGTTTGACTCAACGCCTATCAGTATTAGTGAATATACATGGTCTATTGAATCAAGATCAAATTCAGATATTATAGTCAAATTAATGTTTTATAAGATTTATAGGCATGTTTCACTCATAATTTGTATAGATTCGAGGAACTGAGTTATGAATAGTCATATAAACATTAAAAAGTGAGTTTCATTTCATAATTACATGCTTCAAGTGAATTTTATTTGGCTGTACATTCCATAGTGAATCTAAATTCGAGTGATGATTGTTGGGGTACATATTCAATTAAAGTTCATTTATTTCATAAAGAAAAGCATCTATTTCTAACAAGTATAGACCCTGTTTATTTAAATGCATGTGTAGTCTATGGTTTGAGTTGTTTTTTCACACCAGCTGGAGGAACACATATGATGCGTGTTTTCTCATAGAAAAGATCCGAAAGCCAAGCAGGAACCACTGATAATGGAAAGAATAAGAATTCTGATTGCCACCCTGGTCGATAGCGAGTTCGTGGTGCTGTACTTTCTACAGCATGTTGTAATGCTCGCACTACTTTGATGGGATCTTCGGCATATTTCAGAAGAATATTTTTTTTAGTGCTTTCAAAATAAGTTTTAAAAAACTCATCACCCCATCGTTCTTGAACATCGACTGGCAATTGTGCTTGAAGTTCGCTTGCTGACGTAGCATATTTCCCAATGATAGGCGTTCGCATAATGCCTGGCTCGATGATACTAACGCGTAAACCCCATGCTACCATTTCACGACGAAGACAATCAGAGAACGATTCAAGTGCATACTTCGAAGCACAATAAGCTGAAGCCGATGGTGGAGAGATGAAGCCAGCTATCGAGCAAATATTGACTACACGCGAGTCTGGTTTTGTTATAAGTAACGGTAAAAACGTTTTTGTCATATCTACATGACCAAAAAAATTGATGTCCATCACTTGACGTATCGTTTCTGTTTTAATCCAATCAATATAACCCGTGCTGATGATGCCTGCATTGTTAACCAGGGCATGTAATGTGTTCGTCTTCTTTCTCACCAAATCGTAAGCTGCATCGATGTGTTCACGTCGAGTAATATCAAGTTGAAAGATAGTTGCTCGTGATGAAAGTTGATTGATGAGCGTATCTTTACTCGCAGGATTGTAAATGCCAGCGAATACATTGAAACCTTTTCTGTCGAGCTCAATTGCTAATGTATTCCCGAACCCCGAATCACACCCACTGATTAAAACGTATTTTCCTCGGACATCAATGATGGGTGCAGGGAAAAAGTGTTGATATAATCTATAGGCGATGTACAAAAACAAGACGAAGGCAACGATGAAAACCATGCTTGATGTTGTTATCGTTTTTTTCACAATGACTGTGCAAATACTTGTCGTTCTTTCTCTTTTGGTTACCACTGTTATCTGATAAAGGGAACGATTGAAATATTATGCTTTCTGAAGAATGAGAGAAACCCATTTGGTCCAGGTAAAAAAAGGATATTTATTTGCTGTGACGTTAATAGAAGTATTATAGTCCAACACGCACCATACACTGATAATAACATATGGACGATAATCATAGGAGACAAATAAATGTCGAAACTTCGGATTTCATCCGAGAGTTATGTGTATTGCAAAAGTGCACGGGACATATGAGTCATTCTAGAATGTCTGAACACCAAAATTATCATGAGAAACTAGGCAATTTGATTTCTGGATGCAGTTTTTTTAGGCTTTTTGCAGGTAATTTTTCGTTAGAAAACTACAATTTGATTCAAAGATAATATCAGATTCAGAATCAGCGTTAAAAACTGAGTGGATTTATATATATTGTGAATAATTCTGGGGAAAATGGTTTTTTTGANTTTTTTTTAAAAAACCCCTTCCCCCCCCCCCCCCCCCCCCACCGCCGTCAGGGATGGTCTGGTCAAAAATGACAATTTTTTCGATAACTCAGCCATTAGCTTGACGGATCCTTCTCATCTTCGAACTCGACCGAGATAATTGATGAATTTATTCTGTGTACAAAATTTCATGGTGATTGGATGAGGCTTTCAAAAGTTATCGTGTAAATGGACGGCCGGACGGACACACTGACCGATTCTAGAGTGTGCTCCCTTTTTGAGTACACAAAAATGAATCAAAAAGAAAGAACAGAAGTACACATACTTTGTATCCAGGTCAATGTGTACAACCAGATTGCAGCTGGAAAATTTTCGGATTGCTTTCAGTGATTCCCAGGCAACTTTCTGCTCTTTTCCACTACAAGCGATCACAAATCACCGAATACATCGAAAATAATGATCAGTTCATGGTATACGATTTTTTCTATTTTCAAGCGACTGGAATTGTTTTCAACAAATCAATTTTCTATTCGTTGTGTTTTTTAATGAATCATCATTTTCACGCATGGTTTATCTTCAGAATCATCGTGTGACTGGTTCCTAAGTCATAGAATCATCTCACTCGATAGTGAGTCACTTCATTACTTGTGTTTCTTTCCAGCAGACCTGTTTTTCATTAGCTACATCGAATCGAATATAATAAGTTACTGTACTATAGTATAAGAATGATGAACCACTTCGCCTGGAGCAAGCTTTAGTGAAACGACTCATTTTCTTCTCAACAGTAAATCGAAACTGCGTGCTCATCTTCTTCTGAATAATATATTCAGTCTCATTGTCAAAGTAATTTCAATCGAACAAACAAAAAAATAACCTCACGTGGTGTTTATTCTGAAAGAAAACCAACGAAAGAATATGTTCAATTCCTCGCATGAAAATTCTAAAAACCAAACATTTTCAATACAATGTATCAAATTAATAAAAAAAGACTGCGAATTCTCACAAAATATTTTCCAAACAGTTGCCTACTCCCAGTTCACCTCGAGAAACCGTTCATAAATTATTATTTTTCTCTCATATCACATTATGCATCATACATGACAATAATTACTCTACCAACGGAAAACCCACACTGAGTACATGTTCTGCTATTCTTCACTCGACTGAGAGAAAATTAATCAAAGTTTACCAAAACATACCACATAAAAATCATTTCAGCGAACCATCTCTTCATCCGTATAACTATGTCTCTGAAATACATAGAGAAAACGATATAAAAATATCGGCACATAGCATGATAATTGACATAAGCAAGCAACCACTCCATCGAATATTTTACTCATCTACAAGCAGGCCACATCACATGATGAACACTCTCATAAGATATGAAATGAGAACGTAATAACGACGACTTTAATCATGAACTGTGGCAACAGTATATACAGATTGGAAACAAGACATTTCCTTTGATGACACCAGCAAGTAGAATAATTCTTAAGATAGCTAATTTCAAATAGTTTTCTTTCTTTAAGCCCCCCCCCCCTCCGCCTCAAAAATTGATTTCCGCCTAGGAACGTTCAAATGAACTGGAATTTGGATGATATGTTGGGGCTATAGTGGAGTCTATGATAACATTTTCAGTCCCAAATCATGAGGTTTCAGGGAGATATAGATTGAATAAGGGTCAAAAATAGCTCTTTTGAGATCCAAAAGTTATCTGTTTTGGCTCGTTCAACATATTGATAGTTTTTTGTTTGAAAGAGCATCTCAAGACGCAGTGGATGACGTTGTTCTTTTTGGGTGCGACTGTGGAGGGCGGATGTGTGGGTCAGAAACGTGCACAGGACAAAATTTTTTGTCCTGTCCTCACCTGTCCTGCTGCCTACTTTGGTCCTGGCGGGCGGCAGGACAGGACAAAAATCGAAACCTTATCCTGTCCTGTTTCGTCCTGTTGATAATATTCGCCCTGGCGGGCGGCAGGACAGGACAAAAATCTAAATCTCATCCTGTCCTGTGCACGTCTCTGGTGTGGGTGTGCTTCTTCTCTGAAATCACGCCCTACACCTACACTCACACCCACACTCACGCCCTGAAACATACAATTATTTAACTGACCAGAAACAAAGAAAGATGACTAGGAGCTATTCATAAATAGAACTATTTCACATTGTTTAGCTCCATGAAGTTTTTTCCTTATATCATCAGAGCAATATACGCTGCGCTCGAATAAAAGTGCAAAGTACAATTAGTAAGTAACAAGTATTTTCACTTGTATCGATACTTGCTGTACTTGTACTTGTCCAGTTTGTGTAAGCAAGACGAACACTTTTACTTGATTGTATTATTCATTTGCACGAAAACTTGGCAATCGAGAACTGATGTATTTTCTAGTGCTCGCCCTATTCAGGCAATTCGAAAATCGATGCCTTTCTTTTTTCAGTCTCACCGTTTTACATGACATAATAATATAAAAAAAGGATATCGATTCTATAATGAATTTGTTTCAAATTTACGACAATGATGCATTCAGAAACATATGAAATAAAGTCGATTGCATTTGAAATGATTACGTATCAAGTATTTAACGGTACTGAAAAATATGATTCAACTGAATTATTAGCTTGTTTACATTCAAAAAATTCAGCATGAATAAATAAACTATTCGGCTTTTTATTTGAATATTAAATATTTATTTTTGTTTTTAAGCTGAGGAATTTTCAAGATTTAATAAAATTTATGATTTTAATCGCCAACTTTTTAATCAACTAGTACAAGTGATTTTTACATCGGTTTCGACTTGCATTGTAAATCACAATCGGTCTAAATTGTTTAAGTAACGGATGAAGACATTCACTGAGTTAAACTCGATGGTGTTCGAGCGAAACTTAAATACGGAATTCGATACGAAGCTGGAACCGGATCTAGTACGAAATATCTTGAAGTCGAAGAAATCGTAAATACTTTCCATGAAGACATGATGAAATTCATCATTCGAAAAACTCTATTCATACTTAGTGATATATTTTTAAAGAACGATCAATTATCTCGAACTTAAATCATTTTAAACTCGCATTTATGAGTGAACGAAACTTCAGATTAAAGATTCAAAAAACGATGTCGGAAGCTGGATCCTAGTCCTGGTACTTCCACCTTTAGTTCAAACGAATTTTCTATGACTTTCAGTTTTCAAGATCATCACGACAGAAAACGACGACTCGCAATGCGTAGCTCAAGTTAAAAAGCAAACAAACGTAAACTCGCGACGGACTGCATGCATGCTTTGGTTCGCATCGCATTAAAATCAAAAAATTAACAGATGCAAATACATAAGAAACACGAAATCTCCTCGAGGAAAATGCTTGTACGAAGAAAATACTGTTAGTGCAGCATCTGGAATACAAGTATAACTATTACATCATTTGGCATGTTGTATTTATGGAACATAATAATTTTGGCGAACAAGAAGCAAAATGATAATATATAAATTAATATTTCACTTTTTCTCCTCCACTGGAGAATTCATAGCGCAGAAATAATAAAACTTTCGCTATATGGCGATAAAAATATGAAGAAACTCAATATTTTCTAGACGTTTTCCATTTTGATTAAAGGGATGCAAAGTTAGTTAATTCAGCGAATATTTCGTTATTTCAGTTATAGGAAATCCTAGTCATAATACACAATAGGTTTTCCTAATAAACATTGAACTGCCAGATTGAAGCCCATGGTGAACGTATATGCATAGTGAATTGAATTCCAATTCAGTTACTCTCCATGTCCTTCATAATCACTTTTAATTGTAGAGAAAATTGATAGCTTGATTCTTTATATGATACAGAAACCACATTATTCACCATTATCAACAGAGGAGCGAATTCTTGTGACTTTTTTAGCCAGTTGCAAAGTTTTTTTTGCACATTATAGAATTACGTTTTTAAATGTACGAATTATAGAAAAAATTTTAGAAAAATCTTTATTATCCTGAGCATTTCGAACTTTTCGCAGGAGAACCGTTGTAGGTGTGGGTTTTAGTTTCAATCATTCGGGGAAAAAACTGCTTAAAATTGAAGAATAAGTTCACGATAATAGTCGTACCTATGAATAGACATTCTTTTTAGCTAGTCTTAAACCTATTATGACTACACAGTATTTTTCAACAGGCTATGGGAGAATTTTTATGAAAATGACTTATTCGAATCAGACTAATGCAGATTTATATACAATAACAATGCTTGTTGATACCAATTGATTTATTTTCTTTCAAATCTCTAGAACTCATAATAAGAGAAAAAAAATAAGCTTTCAGGTTGGATACAATATAAGAAGCGACCTTCTTATTTTAAGAATTCTATATTCTTCGTCGTACATATACTTTTGAGAACGGTTTCTCTAAGGCACAGTGAACATTTCAATTTTTTCACTGAATAAACTAGCGAATGTCAAAAATTAAAACCTTTAAATCACTTTCGACAACAAGATCTTAGAAAGATCCTGTGAATATATGCGCCAATCATAAAAAGTTCTTCTTTAAAAGTCAAAGCCAAGAGCTAAATACGTTTGGATTTTCCGTATTTTTCCTAAAATTCTTCAAATAATGCATTCGCATTTCTTAATGCTGTTAGAATGAACACGACAAGATTCACTACAGACAAATCCTGAGATCTTCTAAATGAAATGCAATTCTTTCATGCCTAAAATGATCTAACTTTGAAGAAATGTATTGTTTAATTTTATCAGGTATTTGGTGAAGTGTTTGATAGAATTTGTGTATGAACATGTGTCTTTTCAGATTTATGATCAGCAAAAAGAGAAGATCTATTTTAAGCACAGACAAGTTATTTCTGGAGTTGCTTCTTGACATCAGCTGGAAGAACAGATACGGCTTTCCCATAGTAATAATCAACGAACGAAGTAGAAGCAATTGATAACGGAAAGAATAGGAATTTCGATTGCCATCCTGATCAATAGAGAATTCCTGGAGCTCTAATTTCTACAGCATGCTGCAATGTTCGTACTACTTTGATAGATTCTTCGGCGTATTTATAGACATTACTAAGTTTTGCACTTTCTAAATAATGCTGAAAAAATTCGTCATCTCATCGTTCTTGAACATCGAATGGCAAGTGCGCTTTTACATCATGTGCTGACTGAGAATGTTGTTCAAGGATGGGAGTCCGCATGGTAACATTTCACGACGAACACAATCGACGAATGATTCTAGAGCGTACTTTGCAGCACAGCAAGCTGAACACGATGTCAAAGCAATGAATCCGACTGTCGAAGAAATATTGATTACGCGTGAGTCCCGCTTCGTGACAAGCAAAGGTAAAAATGTTTTTGTCATATCTGCATGACCAAAAAAGTTTATAGCCATTACTTCACGCATAGAATCCATTGTGATCCAATTAATACGGTCAGAGGTCGCTATTTCTGGATTGTTAACAAGTGTATGTAATTTATTCGTCTTCTTTTTCATCAAATTACAAGCCGCATCGATGTCTTCACGTCGAGTAATATCAAGTTGAAAAATAGTTGCTCGTTCTGTAACGCTCGTTTTCTCTTTTATTACTCAGACGAGTTTAGTCTTTTTCATTCAACCCTGACTCATTAAATAAAGGTACAACAAGAAAAAGAAACCAATCAATAGTGCATAATGATGTGAGAAGATAAGACAAAAGCATTATGCACAATAAAAGAGTTACGCATGGCGTATAGATGTCTGAACACAGCCAGAATTTTATCAAGTTTATTCGCAAACTCTTGATATACTTTTCTGTAGTTATTAGCAGTTCTACGGATCTGTTTGATTATGAATTCCAGAAGATAGAAGCTGCTGCTATTTTTAAATTATAAAAATAGAACAGAATTAACAAGAGCTACTATATGAAATAGAAACAGTAAAGTGTTATTTATTCATAGAGCTGACTTCAACAGGATAATTTACGTCTTTTTCATCTATAAAATGTGAATCAATCTCATTTATTTTTTATTAAAACACAAACAACATATCTTTAACAGCTTTATAATATGATGGTGACAAATATTTAGGAGCATCTTCATGAGTAATCCAAGCATGATCTTTATAAGGCGTTGCTTTCAGAGTAGAAAATTGTTTAATAACACCTGCAAGATATTCACCTTTGTAAAAGAAAATCTATCCAAGAAGAAGAATATTTAATAACAAAAATTTGCATGAAATATTCATTAACCTTTTTAGACGATGAATCTGAATCATTTTTATAATAAGCTAATGGTGCATTACCAGATATTTGTACATGGAGGTTTCCACATGTTGAAATGATTTGGTCAACTGCCTAAACTCAATTAACAAGTATTTCAGCATAATTCTTCACATATCGAATATACTGACTGCTCTTAAAGATGGTTCACCATCGTAGATTTTTTCCGGGAAAATCCATTCATCTTTGCCGGATTCAGAATTCTTTCGTTGTACAACTAATAACAAATTTTGATCTAATTTTCGATTTTGACTATGAAGATTATTTGTTTTATCATCCTCTACAATAAAGAAATGATAAAATTGATCATGTAATAAATGAGAGAGACAATATACCTGTTTCTCGTGGCATGAATTGAAAACTTTCAAATTCTTTTGCTAAACGGTCTTCTAAGTCAACAGCTGTTTCAACAATATTAACTGCTGCAGCTGTACTTGTTGCTGAACTTTGACGTTGTTTAGCAAGTTCACTGAAACGCCACTTATGCTTAATGAGTTGACTAGTTTTTCTTTTCAATACTTACAGTTCACTTTTATGTCGTAATTCATGATCTGATAAATAGCTATGTTCGGTTTCTAATTGTGTTATTAAATTTGTATAATCCTTTTCTAATTGAGTCATTTCAGGTGATAAATGTATGTAACGTTGTAAACATAGTGCGACTTTTATTTGTGGACGTTTTTCTGACTTTAGTGTTGATGATGTTTGAACATTAGTGGCAGTATTAGCAACAGCTAAACGTCGAACAATGGATGATGAAACTAAACAAATCATGAATTAGAGTCAATTATTTTCCTATAAATTGATCTACATTAAATTGGATGATGAGTGAGACATACTTCTCCATGAACTTACTCAATAATGAAGTGCGTAACATAGCTGATACAATATTGAGTATTATCTATTCACAAATCGAAATATTATATCTAAAGATAAAAATTAGTTACTTTATAATAAAAACTCGAGCTTTTATCACATGATAACGTAAACGAAAAAAGAAAACAGAAGGGCACATAGTTAGTTGGCTCAATTAACGCACATAAGAAAACAAAAAAGAAACCAGGACTAATAGAAAATACGAGATCACCAGAAGAAGAACAACAAAAGAGAAACATATTAACTATGATTGATTTCATCGGAGGAATACCATTTCGTAAACCGAGGTAGAACTGTTTTCCATCGTTTAAAATTAGCTTCTGTTATTTCACATTGCATAGGGTTAAATATTTTATTAACGGTTATAATTCGTTGAAAATAGTCATAATCATCAATAATACCATAACCATAAGCAGCTAAAAATCCAGCACCGATACCCGATGCTAAATCAAACGCATGACAACGTTCAACAGACATGTTTGATAAATTTGCTATGATTTGACAAATAAAATCACACGTTGAAACACCGCCAGCTACTCTTAGGCATTTTAATTTTTTTTCTCCCTGATGCTTTTTATAATCATCACGTACAAATGAAAATACATCATAAATAGCAAAGGCAATCGATTCAAGTATAGCACGAAGTAAATCTTCACGTTTGGTTTCACTGTCAATACCTATGAAACCTGAACCACAGTATGGATCACTATTGTGACCACCAAATGCAGGTAGAAAAAATAAATTGGCTGGTCGAGCGTCTGTTGATATTGTATTGAGTTCAGAGAAATCGCCAAAAAATTTAGCTTGCTTAGCCCAATTAAGTACTGTAGCACAACCACTATGAAAAGCATGCATAAAATGAACATTTTCTGATGGTTGTGCAAGATCTGAATGAGCCACAAGTGGATAGATACCATCGGTGCACGCACTAACTGGACCAGTTAAAATATTAATAAAAGCACCGGTACCTAATGTAAGTAAACATTCGCCAGGTTGAGATACACATTGACCAAACATACTCGCTTGAACATCACCAATAACAGCAGTAATAGGGATGGCGCAACCTGAAAAGAAAATTGTTGTTTTTTCTTCTCCGATGAACTTGACTCATGTTGTACTATGTGGTTTTCTACTATTCTATCATTCATCTAGTTATTCTCCTATGAATATTATTAATCATGGCAACTCAGTGGCGAATTAAGTCAGAGTTCTAAAAATGATTCACAGGTCTACTTCATCATTGAGTATTATTAACGATAAGAAACTAAAGGTTTATCTAATCTATATACTTTTGTCCTACTCTTCTACAGCTAACCTATGAATAAGCACGAGTCATTTTACTTATAAACTACTCATTTGGTTTGTATTAATCGATAATTATTATCTTACCAAATAAACTTGGGTCACATCTACCAAATTCTCCAAATGTAGGTTTAATGGCGGGCAATAATTTCATATCGATACCTAAATTTCTACACAGTAGAGTTGACCATTGAGATAAAAATGGATCATAAAGTCCAGTTGAACTTGCACATGAAACATCTGTTACATGTTCTTGTCCACCAGTTAATCTCCATATTAGCCATGTTTCAATACAACCAAATAATAATTCACTATTACGTGCGCGTTGAATAAGCTCAGGTTTTCTTTCAAATAACCATAACAATTTAAAAGCAATCATTTGTGTACGAAATTCAAGATTTGATAATGTTGACATACGTGCTGTTTGAACAATAGGATAAATAACTTTAGCAAAACCGCGTATTGTTTTCCATGTAAACGATGAATTAGTTGCTACCGCATGCGAACTTGATCGTGAATCATTCCATAGAATAATATTTGAATATGTTTCTCCTGTCTTACGATCCCATAATATAACAGAATTTCTTAATGTGGATATGCCTAAACAAGTGATATCGGTAATAGTTAAAGGACTAGCACACTTTATTGTTTCAGTAATAACATCGAGTAAAACAGACCAAAATTGTTCGGGATCAAATTCAAAGCCATGTGGTTCCGGATTAAGAAGGGTTTGTTGTTTTTGACTCGATGAAATAATTTCAAAAGTTTTAGAAAATATGTAAGCACGTATGGACGAGGTACCGATATCAATTGAAAGTATGTAGGGTTCTTTAATAGGAGGTGAAGGACATTGTTCTTGACCATCGGCATTATTAGCTAAACAAATTAAATTTCCTAAGTTAGATTTTGTTGCCATTATTTGTTTGGTTGTGAGGATTTTTTAATTTCAGTATATAAATCGTAGAGTTGAACAAGTTGATCTTCTTTAAGAAGATCTAAAGCTTTTAAATCGATTGATTGACCAAGTGATTCGTTATTTTTAGCTGAGATTTGACGTGTTAGTATTCGTGCGTACTCCTACGAAAAAAAAAAGAAAAAAGTAATACAAAAAAAGTACTATCAACGACATAGATGTTTATCATCAATTGCAGAAAAGAAGAAAAAAAAGAGTAAATACTGACTTCTAATGACGACAACTGGATCGGTAGGAAAAAATGAAGAAAAGGTCATACGTCACTTTTTCTTCGTTTTTTTCTAACGATACTTACACTCCATTCAACCATAAAATTTGTAACGAATTCAGGTTGTGCAGTTTTATGACGACGAAACTCATTGCGAACGTATTGATTACCCAATTCTCTTAATTCATTGGGAAGACTTTGGTGTAAACGAAGTATAGCTTTATATAATTTCAAGACAGCGAAACGATGTTGTGAGCCAAAGATTTTTTCATACATTGATTATTAACATTGACTCTTGTTTTTTTTTCTCTTTATTCTAAAATAGCAAACATTTAGTCTTTTTTTTTCTTTCGTTCTTCCGTTTCCATCATCTCTAATCAAATTAACAAACAAAACAAAAAAGAAATAGTTTTATCATCTCGAACATAATTATACATGGTTATTATCAACTGTTCAACATTAAATGTTTACAAACAAACAAAAATATATGCATATGGAGAGATTATTGACCGGGGTCAGTTGCAGTGAAACTTCATAATTATTATAAAAGTGTTTCATGACAATGTTGAAGATCAACATTTAAACGATTGATATAACGATCTAAATCTGTATTTGTTGGATCAAGATTTTTTGCAGCAAGTAAATCAGTCAGAGCATCGTCATATAATCTAAATAGAAAAATCAATTTCAAGTAAAATTCTTAAAAACAACTTTAATTAGTAAGTCATATACTTTTGATCGCGTTTTATTCTTGATCGAAGTAGAAGACCATCGGCTGTATTATGAATATAAAGTGCTTGCGTACAATAATCAATAGCTGCTTCATAAGACTAAAATATGAGTAAGATTATTGTTTCTTTCATTGATACGAAAAAATTATTTTTCATACATCTAATTTTCGTTTGCATTTAGCTAAATGAATTAAACAATTATATTTCATAAATCGAAAATTTGTTGTAAATTGATCTGTTGTTTGTTGATCAATATTTGTTGGTAGTTTTTTTAATGCATATGAAAAACGATAAGCAGCATCTTTATATTGATTTTTCTTTTTAACAAAACAACAGTAAATAATAAAATAAATAAACAAAACAAAACAATCAAATTTACTTTATAAAGTGAAATACCATCATCAATCAATTTCGATATTAAAATTGTCATCATATCATTTTTACCAGCTGCTAGTGCCCATGTTGATGGGCCTAAAAGAAAACATAATCGTTCTTTTTTCCAAAAATTTCATTCAAAGACAAAGCAAATGATTTACCACTGCACGTCTGATTAGATCTTCTTTATTATAAAAAAAAACAACAACAAAAGTAAGCTGAACTTTTTCATATTTTTGTTACTGTGTAACATTTCTATAGAACTGTACATATTGTTTTGAAGAATATTCAATCCAATAGAATGTATGGAAATGAACAGGAAGCTACAATTTACTTGTAACTTGAGTATATATATATATATATATACCTCTAACCAATGTATAGATGACGCATGTGTACATATGTTAGATCCACAACGTCTTCCTGCATTGAAAGGATCAGAAGTAGTTCTATCGAGATACTGTACTTTCATTAGAAACTTCGGCAAAAAAGCGATACTCGTCTTCAAAAATCATACTCATAAATAAGAGTATCATCTCAATTCATTAGTGTACGTATCTATCTCCGTGTAAAATTTCATATAAAAGAAAGTCATATCTCATAGCATCAATATGGTAAAAACATGAACTCATCATTTCAGGGTATTCTCAAAGCTAATTAATCCGTTGAGTGACTTCACTTCTTATGATAACTTATTTATTTTCTTACCAAGTTTAACACTTTTCTTTAACAAACAATTAACAACAGCAACATTTCGACAGCCAATAGCACGATCAAGTGCCCGCATTCCATTTTTATCGACATGATCAACAATGGAACCATGATCAATCAGTAATTGTACTAGTTGTACATCACCATAGAATGATGCCATATCAATTGGTATTCGTCCATTAATGTCTTCATGATTAATATTGCTTCCATGAGCTAATAATGTTTCGCACGCATGAAAATGACCTTTTAAACAAGCCCATGATAAAGATGTAAGTCCTTCTTCATCTTCATGATGAACATTAGCACCTGTACGAAAACAAAACAAAAAGCATGGCACGATTTTTTCTAACGAAAAAAATAATAACCTTTCTCTAATAAACTATCAATAACAGCTAGATGACCTTCACTAGATGCAATTACTAAACATGTTCGTTTTTGTTTATCACAATGTTCAATCGATGCGTGATGATCAAGTAAATATTCTACACATGACCACATACCATTTTTAACAGCTAATAATAACGGTGTCATTTGACGAGAATTTGTTCGATCTATATCTGCTTGATGATTTGTGATTAAATAATCAATGACATTCATGTGGCCGTGACTTGCGGCATTAGTTAAAGCTAAAAAAACGACTTCCTCATTGTAATGAATGAATTATAACACATCAGAAAAACAAACAATCTACCTGTTTCACCATGGACATAATCGGTGCCATTGATATCAATCGTTGAATAATGATTGTCAGTTAACATAAATTCAAGAGCATCAAGTGAACCCGTCGATGCAGCATAGACAAATGCTTGTTGCTTTATAGATTCATCGGTGCAATTGAGAAGTTTCAAAATAGATACATGTTTTGTTGCATAAGCAACAGCTGTCAATTGATATTTATCTTTCAAAGTGATCTAAATGAAATTAAAAGAAAATCGTTACAAAGTCTATAAATTCAATAACTCGATGGCAGATGAAACTTACATTAGCATTGTAATTAATTAATAATTTGACAACCTGTTCATGCCCATATTCGGCCGCAAGCATTAATGACGTCTTATTGTCATTATCTTTTGTTATTATATTAACGTTTGCATGATATTTTAAGAGTAATTCAACAAATGACATATACCCATTTCGTGATGCAATACATAGAAGCGGCATGTGTATTGAATTAACTATTGAATCTGGATTAGCTGATGTCATTAAAAGTAATTCACTTATATCTAATTCAGGATAGAATGCATTACGCAGTGAAGCTAACAAACGTGATGGATCGTCGATTAAGTGTTTTATGGTGTGACACAGTTGAATAATATTATTAGAAAATAGATCACTTAATGATAGATGACGAATACACTCAGTAGCTTCGGGACCATGTAAGGAGTTGGATAACGAATGAGATAAATAAAGTGCCAAACGAGAATGTCCTTTTCTGTATAGAAACATATACAAATAAGAGATTTTAGGAAAGTTTTCTATCGATTAAAACTATTTACTTGATATTGCAAGCAAAATATTGATTTTTATTAGTAAGTAACCAATGCCGAATTGACCCATGAACAGTAGCATAGGTTGCATTGGGATATTGTGTTAGAAATGCAGATAAATAGGAGACACACTTTAAAAGAAGAAACAAAGCAAAAAGGACATTGGACAAATTATCAATAGGTCAAGATTGAATAGCTTTTCGATAGATGAGGTCATAGGCAATCTTCAAAGTGGTGCTAAACTTACTTGTAAGAATATTGACCATTCAATATGTGATTCTTCATCAACATTAACACAGCTATATAGAACATTTAAATTAATTGGTCGTCTGATTGCTAAACATATTTCAAGAATAGCACGACAAATTTCAATATGTTCTTGAATTTTATTAGTTCGAAAACGATAATAATATATTTCGTTTAATGTTCGAGGAAGATCAATATTTGCCGGGAATTCTCGTTGTTCAAATAGATCACAGAGCTGTTGAATAAAAAATATATTTCCATGCGATAATGTACATAATTGATCAATATTTGACATAGATGATGATAAATCATAGAGTTCATTACTACAATCGTTCTAAAGAAATCAATTTCTATGATTATATGCTTGTGATTTAAAACATTGTTTTCTTGCTGTTTCCAATGTGCACAAAGACCTCCCTAGGATCCGATGATTAAAATGCTTTCAATGAATAGGAAAATTAGATAATTCATTGTTTGAAAAAAGAAATAGTTATTCTCTAGAGACTACACGAGCTATAGACCGAGTCAAATCAATTAATGAAGATTGAAACAGTAGCACTACACAAAAAAAGAGTCTTGAGAAATTAACTACTACGAGGTGATAGACTTGATCAAATTCAATAATCATAATTTCTCACTGATCAATTTAAATGGTTTATCAGACGAATCAACTGTCGACAATGACAGATTGTTCATATATTACCTCTAATCGTTTCGATAAATATTTTCGTATATCATTATATAAATAATTAGAGAATCTTAATTCATCTTCGATATCCAATACAGCGAAGTGTTGTAGAAATGTATTTTGTTCTGTTTGAAGTTGATTATCGTGCAGCCGATTCATTGTTATGATTAATTTTAACCACGGTGGTATACGATGAAGATTCGTAAATAGAAATTCTGTTATTGTTTGTCCTTCTGTATCACATAGTTCATTGTTAATACCATCGATTATTAAATAAATATGATTTGTAACTGAAAATAACTCTTGTAAATGACCAAGAAGTTTTAATTGATTTAATTGATCAAGAAAAGCTGCAAAGAAAAAAATAGTTGAAGAAAATAAAATATTTTTCGCTTTCTTTTTTTACCAGTAAAAAATGCATGTTCAACATTTTGAATGCAAGCATTTAATGTGATTGCTTTACGTGTATGTTGCTCACGTAGAATAACATCACGGTAAGCATGTAAAAGTGGATGTTCAAGTGCACGATAAATAATTGAATGTATTATGTCTGGTAATGAACAAGAGTCTGTTTGTGAACAATCACAAAAATGTGAAGATAATATATGACATTTTAGCCATTCATAGGAAGATTTTTTTGCTGAATTTACTCGAATGATTGAAGCTAAAAGCAGAAAAATAAAGATGAAAGAATTTATTTCGTTTTTACAAATGCGCAAATACTGTTATTTATTTATTCTCAATAGAAATTCATGAATTTCATAATGATCTCGAATAAGATCTCTAGTCTCCGAGCAATACGAAAGTCGAAGCAATCGTGTCTCTTGAAAAAGTCGGATCACTTCGTCCCAAGTGTGTATTTAGAGTGAGTTCTAGGTTCAGCCTCTTAGACTTTCAAGTTACACATCTTCTGAATAAAACATTGTCTCTATAGATTAGGTGGATGTACGCTTGATCATCGCATACCTTTTTCATTTTGAGTAATAACTGATGTTGTTTGTTGTGATGCCGATGTTGTTATTCGCAATAGATTTTTCATTAGCCATGTTTTACCCATTCCTGGTGTACGACTTATTAGAACAAGGCCGGGTTTAGTTGTGCCTCTTATTAGTTTAAACATTTCATCATAAATCCAATCACGTTGAATAAAAAGTTTTTCATCGTCATGCAGTGAATTTGAATCATCTTTTAAATTCGAACTACAATGACATGTATGAGTCGATGCTGATGATGATGATGGAGTTGTTATATAACGAGGAGGTGACCATGTCTGAGATTCGACCATTGCATTTGGCGCTGATTTACTCATTGGACCAAGTTCATAGCCAGAAAATGTTTCAATACCTGGTTTTTTTTAAAATAAGAAATCATTATTATTAGTAAAATAATATTGGAAAACAAAAAAAAAAGATGTAGTTTACTTGGTGAGAAAACTTTCATACCAGATGGTGAAAATGATAGATCAGAATTTGACATACTTGGTGAAATATTTGTTGGATTGAATTGTATTTGTTGTTGTGGTTGTTTCTTCTTATTATTCCTCATTATTTGTTGAATTGATGTATGTGTAGTAGCTGAGGATGTCGACGGTGACGGAGATATGGATGCAATATGTGTACGATTACTTTGAAATAATATATCCAGCAATTGTTCATGAGCCATTTCGGGTGGTGGTGGAGGGGGCAAAGTTTCGTCTGATTTTGGTTTTGAAATTAACTGTTCAGGTGTTTTATTGTTAGAATTTTTTATGATAGTTGTCATGGAACCATTTGTTTTAATGGCAGATCGTTGTTGACTTGATGTCAGTGGTGTTCCTCGTATAAACGAACTACTGAATGATTTACTTCCGTTAAAATGATGTAGAAGTTTTTGAAAGTGTGATACTGGTTTAACTGGCGTTGGTGGAGGTCGTTCTATAGACGAACGTGGCATAGGAGGAGAAGCTTGAACAAGTAGATTATTAGCAATAATTGTTGACGATGAATGAGGCTGAGAATTCGGTGTTGGAATTGGAGAAGGAGGCATTGATCTCATTGTATTTTTATCATCTGGTAAACAGCGACTTTTAACTAAAAATATTTATTTCTTATTTTCTATTTGTTACTTCGAGTATTTAAAAAAAAAGTATATATATAGATATAATAATGATCACTATCATTATTCTCAATAATTGTCAAAATTTAATGAATTATTTAGTAAATGTCAATTATTAGTTTTTTCTTCTTTTTCTTTTGGTTATGCTTGATTAATTTTCTTTTTTGAAACATTTTGACATATGTATATACATTTACTTACCTAAATGTGACAGGCATATCGAACATTGTTCATACTTGAACATACATGTATAGCACTTTTCATGATGACATGTCGTATCGATTAAGCGTTTGTGTTTTTGATTATCATACGGACATCGACAGATAGGACATAAACGACTTGATGAATGAGAAATACATAGATCATCGTTGTTAGTCAAAGATTTTTTCTTTGCTGATGAAGAAAAAAGCCGAGCCGATCGAAACAGAACAATATCTAAAAATAAATAATAGTAAAGAAATATAAGACGGATTCGTATTTGATTAGTTTTTTATATAATATAATAGTTTATGGTTTAGATTTTCTTCTTGTCTATATAAGAAAAAGTCAATACTAATAATTCAATAGATGCAAGAAAAAATCAGATATAGATTTTTTGCTCTTTGGTAATATTCGTATAACTATATGTAAGCAAATGGTTTCTCGGTATAAGCTGATTTAATCACCGTAGAAAGGATGATATTTAATATAAAATGCAACCTATTCATATCGTCTCTATTGATTCATGAACACTCAATGTTAAACGAATATTTCAAAATGAATTAGTAAATCGAATTAGCTATGATGAAGTAATAATGAATTCAAATAATCGATCATGTAAACGTAACAAATCGATCGAATATTTTTTTTGTATATTTGTGTAATATGTTATATATTGTTCTTTCTTTCTCTCTCTCTCTATCTTCTTTTGCTTCTGTCGTTAGTGACGTATATAACTACATAGTAACACAAGTGACCATAGCCCGACGGATACAGACAATGGTATGTTGAACATATTACTATCGACAATATATTCGATGACGAAACATGAATGGCATTTTTTTTTCGTTTCATATATTCAATAATGTCAGCTGTAACTCTCGGATTTTTTTCTTTTTCAAGTACTTTACGATTACAAATGAATAGAAGAACAAAACGAAAAAGTTACTGTAAAGGCTTTTCTTTCTTTGTCTATAAAACAGAACATAGGACAAAAGATAACCTTAAGACATACCTCGCTTAAACATGTTTGAAGATTGATTCTTAATAATCGTTGTTCATTTTCAGGTTTTAACTCATTTCATTTTGCATGTTATTGTTCTTCTCGCTTTCGCATGGCAATCAACCGTGTGATAGTGATTCGCACTGTCTTTTTCTCCTTCTCCCTCTCTGTCTCTATGCTTCTCTCCCTTTCAATCTTTCTTTTCTTTTCTTTACTTGATATTTGAAGCATACACATATACCATCATATGAAATGTACAAGAGCGTGTCATTACTTTGCACACTTTTGCTCATTCATTTTGTTCGGATCAATATATAAAGCGAAATCGCAAAAAAAGAAAAAAAGAAAATGAGTAAGACAGAATAGGAGTCCCATTTCCGTCTTACATACAATAAACTCTCCTTCTCTTTTTTCCTGTTCATACACAAAAAAAATTATTACGCAAATGTTGACATGCAAATATGCGCATAGGGCGTGGCTATGGTGTTGCTGGTAATCAAATTTGTGCGACCACACGCCGCTCATATGTCATTCAACACGCGACTGAAAGCGAATGCGATTTCAGACAAGCAGATTAAAAATGAGCCTGAATGAGTGACTGAACATGCATGTCAATCATTCTGCTGTTTCGCTTTTCCTTTTCTTCTGTTACAATACAGTCAAACAAATAAATACTAATGATAGGATATTGTTGCGACTATCAAGATTCTTTTTCATGCATCATCTCACATTGTTCATCAAATTACATATTGTTATCTTTGAATCAATGCGTGTATGTACATAGCTGCGTCATTAATATACACAAGAGATAATCCTAAGATAATATAGCGAAAAAGAAAAATAGCTGTTTTGGTATCTCCTTAGCTAAAGGTTATGATCATATCTCTCCTATAGTTTGTTGTCTGTAACACTTCAAGCCAAATGATTTATAATCGAGTCGTTCAAGTTGAAGATACTTATAACAAGTGTATTGCAAGAATATATTCAAAAAAGTGAGACTTTAAATTTCTCTACTACACTAATCAACACTATCGATCATCATATTCTACTATAAGTGGTAATATTTCGATTGCAGCATAAAACTTGACAAGGGGAAAAAAATGTGTTTTGAAGTATAACAAAAAGAAGAAATTTCTATTTTATGAGACCTTGAAAAAAACTTTCTTTCTACTCGTACTTCTATTTCAAGTCTCGTTCAATGTCAATTTACATTCAAGCATCCAGTTTTTATGTCCATAAATAATAGAATAAGTGAAAAGAAAAAAACCGAAGTTTTTTTTTTAATTACCAAACAGAACAACCACACATTTTCACACTGTATTAATGGACTTGTTATAATATTTTAAATACAAAACTCTCGATCGACATATTATACAGTATCAATACAAAATAGCTAAGATAGATACACTACTTTTTTTTTGTTAAATCTTGAAATATAAATACGATATGTTGTTAATGTATAAAAAAGAAAAGAAAGAAAATAGACGGAACAATATTAGCTCGTTGTTTGGCTTATCTTAGAAAGAAATGAATAATTAGCAAAATAAAGATATTAAATAAGTAAGTTTCACATAATGAAAAACGAAAAGAAAACAAACAGGCGCAATATAGACTTCGCTCATATTCATTGTTTTGCATTGATATCAAAGTAAAATGAAATGGGAGATTCATGCACTCATGGTAAAAAAAACATTTGAATTAAAAATTATTGTTTACAACATCGGCATCGTTTTGAATAGAAAATCACTTGACCAATAATAGCAATATCAATACTAATTTGCAAGATACCACATAGCCAAAATTGTTTCGGAGCATTTCGAACGATAAAATAAATAGTTTTGAAAATATCACCCGATGTCCAAAGAATAACCTTAAAGCAATGGATTTAGATGAAGATTAATAACAAAAGAAAATATTTACCATTTTAACACTCATTCCTTCAGTTGACTTTAAACGAAAATTACGTAAGAATTGAGGTACGCCAAGAAGTGCTTCACAGAAGACTGCCAATAGTCCAATGGTTTCAATATAAACCAAATTATAACGAAAAAGCCATGTTATAATACCTAATATAAAAGATTGACGAATTGAACGAAGGATGAACTCGATCGAGCATGGGATTATTAGCAGACGTAATAAAAATCCTATTAATTACCACTATTGACATCGTATTATATAGATTTCCCTGAGGACCATTGGACATTAATCTCTCTGTCGCCAACGATTTTCTAGTCACGCCACAATCACGACTTTGTATATTTTATGAATTTATCAGATAGAAATACAGAATATTTAACTATATTCTATTTTACGATAGAATATCAATAACTTTGTTCAATTCCAAGTCTTTATGGCTCTGATTCGTTAGATATCGACAAGTTTCTGTAGTTCAATATCAGTTCCATGGAATGACTCGAGACAAGTCGCTAGCACAGCTTAATTATCTTGTGACGTATAACTACTCATATGATTAATTAATAAGTATGAAGAATACATCAACTTTGTGTCACGTCGATGATTTATATCTGTCGTTATGCAAGACTTCATAAAAAAAAGGCGGGATTATTTTTCCTTCCTACATTTTCATGTCTGACTATAGAAAATATTTATCTATAAACCAAATATCTCTGTTCGTAAACAATTGACTCATCTTTTGTTTGAATATTTATAATTTTTGGCGGAAAAAAATTTGTTTTTAAATACTTACTTAATATTACAGTAAAAATGAATAAAAATTGAAGATAACTCGAAAATCTAAAATGAATCAAAAAAATGAATGATTCAATTTTCTATCTTAAATCTTACGTTGTCCATCTCCAAAAGTAAGTAACTTCAAAGTCCATAAATCTTCTATCAGATACTTCTTCTGTCAATTGTTCTTTTGAATTCGATATTTGACTACTTGTGTCCGATGATGAATCACCACGCATAGCTTGACTATGCACACGTGTCCATAATTCCAGCATAATCAGCATACAAATTATCATTACTATTGATTGTATCAACAGTGGAGTTTCAAAACGTTTGCCAAACCAAAATTCAATACGAATAATATTAGCAACAAGTAATGTAAGACATACATAATTTGAAAACCCTTCCGCATTTTTTGTTCGCTTTATTACTAAATACTGCGGAATGTATGGAATCACACCACCAAACTAAAATAAATAATCAGAAAAAGTTGAGTGATAATGCTCGAGAGAATTATAAAATTTTCAACTGAAGATATATTCGATTTAGTTTAAATAGAATTGAGGTGTGCGAGAGTAGCATGCTGATTGGCACCTTGAAATCATTGACTATCGAGATACGAAATTAATCCTGTTCGATATTAAGACAGTATGCATACATCAGTTTTTCCTCATATTTATGTATCTTCAAGAAACAACAACAAAAATAATCTTAATATTTGAAGTTTATATGTAATATGATCTTATAGACATCAACAAGATATGTCAGAAATTTTCGAGATTACAGTTGTCAATCTTCTTAAAGGACGAAATAGCCTATATAGCAAAAGGGTGCAATATTTTTTTCTTCATGTGGGATTATAAATGCAGTAATACGTAGTTTAAGTGTGACCTATTCAAAGGTTTTTCTGTTCTTTTTTGGTTAGATGTCAAAATCATTGACAGACTTATTACTGCTTATCAATAGATTAGTTACTGATTGAGAGCATACGTTCTACTTTCAGCAAAGAAATTCCAATCAAAATAACGAGTAGGGTTTCCTATATAATCATTAAATCAAAGGTAACGATTGATACTTGTTTATATTAGAATGAAGTTCATAGGACAATATACATTTGTTTATCTCATATTTCAAAGAAATACTCTATTGAATGATCATGAAACATACATTTCTTTTAAGAACGATGAGCATATAGAAGATGAGCTTGCTTGTCCTTCAAATGTATGCGTCAAGGATATAGAAATACAATCAATTGTATGTTCGAAATAAGTCTAAATTCGATTAGACATCGAACTAATTCAACTTATGAGGTCGTGCGATGTTTGAAATTGTAAGCGAGAAAAAAGAAACATCGGGAAAGTCATTGCATAGCCTCGATAGTCTGTTTTAATGTCAAATAAAAAAGTTCATTGTACTAACATTGCCTCAAGGTGAATGTCTTTGTTCAATGAACAAAGACGAACAATGTATTTTGTTCAATCTACTTGTTACAATTGAGAAAAAAAGAATTCCAATAACTTACTATCATAAAAAGTATTGCGCAAGCTTCCAGAATGCGCATGATAAATATTCGAAAACTTGAGATAGGTATTGGTCTATGAATTTGAGTATCATTCGCAGTTTCATTTAATGCAGTTGTTGTTAAATTATCATCGGTAATCTCTTGAGGCATGCCCAATACATAATTTGCATACTTTTTAATATTTTCGAATAATCCTTCGTGAACGTTACTAGTAGTATTATTAGTAGCATTAGTAAAACCAAGCAATAAAAAAGCAGTAATGACAAACAGATAGCACGAATAATGACGATGATGATTTATTTGTTGAAATTTGAGTTTGGCAAAACTAAACAAGCATGAATAAGATTGTTTTTTGGAAATCAAATTTAATACGAGTGTTAACATATCAAAAGCAAGAAAAACAACACAGAATCTAGTCTTGGACATTCCTTATGTGCTACTAATGTTTTGTCGAGTAGTAGTACACACATTCTTTTAGTTCATACGTATACACATTTAAATATACTTACAGGTATCCCATTTTATTTTAGTTAGTAGACTGCCTAAGGATATGAGCAGAATAGATGTAATAATAAGAAAAAGTAAAATTCATGAAATATTTTTTAAATAGACTATTTAATTCAGTACAAATGTAGATTAGAATGCATGACAAAAATAAACGCATTTTTACCTTGTCTGATCAGTTGTATTGAAACTATACACACCAACAAATCTTAAAAGAAAAACACAAAAATATGTTTGTCGAGTATGACTAACGAAAACAAAACGTCAGAAGAATGAATGGATACTGCTTGTCACGATAAAACGTTCGCATGGATTAATTTTTGTCGAACAACCAATACCGAACAATACTAACTTAACAATTGAAAAATTAGTATTGTAAAGCTAGCAAAAATAAGTGTTTTAATGGGTTTATCTATGTAATTAGTAATAGAATTGTGTTGATAATTTTTACAGAAAATAAAAATCTCTATAGATGTCGCATTGAATAATGAAGAACATCTTATTGGCTAAATTGATTCTTCACGACAAATAAATTTATATCAATATTTTTTTTTTATGATTGTATTTTAGTTTTATTTTGATAGTAAACGTAGATTTCAAGTGAATCATTTTATAGCTGGTATCCTACAGTAGAAATTCTACTATAAAATTCTTATTGTCTGATCATTGTTGTAAGAGATCTAGATAATCAGATAGTAATAATTTACATAAGATGTTTATTTTACTTACTTTTAGGAATTTAACAACAATGAAAATGTATGATAGAGGAGTTAAAAGTAACAATTATTATTATAGTTGAAAACAAATGAGAAAAAATTAAGTATTCATAGGCAAGTTTTAGTAACGGAAAACGAGTGCGTTTGTTTGCTTATAGGAAGAATTTCGATTCAATTAATTTCTCTAGGTTAGTTTAGAGTGGGAGATGCTTGTCTTCGTCGAGGGAAATATAGCTAATCTATTTATGAGATATATTGTATTACTTTTATAGAAAACTTAAGATGGGAAGTTAATAAGCTAATTTTTGAATCAATTGAAGTTGTTCATAGATCTCATTGGTTTTTGAGCAGGAAGTAAAACAATCAGCTTATTTAAGTTAATGTACCTATCAAAACATTGACAGCAATCATAGAACAAAGAATTGTAAACAGAAGACTTATAGTTTTGGACAAGAGTGTTTTTTTGTAGTAGTAGCACTGTTATTATTGTTGTCAAGTGTCGATTTTGAGTACATATGTACAACCGTAAACTCCCATTCTTCGATAAGTATGTTATTTCAGTTAGTTTCCAATTAATTTTTTTTCTTAACCTCCATTCTTGGAAAACATTGCGCAAGCAAACTCTACATTATGAATATTGTTTTAGTAGAAAGTTGTTGTGACAGATGTCGAGCCTGCCTAACAAGTTCCAGAGTAGTAGAACTGAATGAAGTGAAATTGCTGCATGACATGATTTTCACTATCTCAAAACATGCTAACTACGATGGTCTGGATTATTTGTGACAAGTTCTGGTGAAAATCGAATACCAGACCTTCTTGGGTGCATGTTTTTTTCACGAATGGAAGATGACATTTGAATCATAACTCCAATCTATCTTGGGATGTTGGAAAATTTTCGAAGAAGCAAAAATGGATTCGTCCAGAAATGTATCTTGAGACCGTATAATGATAAACATATAAGTCATAGCACTAGCATCGGTAGCGCAATCTATATTTGATCTTCCAAGTATCATAGACATGCGCAAAACGAAATGATTTAGTTATAGTAGACTGCTGAAAGGCATGAATGAATGCATACGGTTTTCGACATGTGTTAATGTCATAAAAAAGAATATATGAATTCTTTTTACTGTTAATCACTTTCAATTTGACAACTTTTTAAACAAGGTCATTGCCTTCGATAATAGTGTGGAGTAGCCCTTTGAATAGGAAGAAAATAAAGTGGTGGATAGACACAATTCAAATTTAGTGAAAAAGAGTAAGTTAAGACTTTAGTTGATTTTCGTAAAAGAATACCTCAGATGCAATATGCAGGCTGTTTCTTACATTATATTATAGCTATAAGTAAATACCGATCAAATATGAAAAAGTTGAAAAGAATTTATATCCTGTTTTAGTTCCGATTATTTTGCTACGTTTAGCTTAGTTTAAGGAAATTTCTTATGGCAATTAAAGAGCAATACATAATGAATATAAATTGAGAGAAATAATCTCTCGTTATACTTTAAAACTTCATTATGTATTACTGAAAGTTCTCCGAGTGCACAAAAACAACTCGAATTGTTCAAAATATTTTCTCTTTAGCTTTTCGTCAAAATAAAATTCACCTTAAATTTATCGATGCGCCTAGCAAATAGTATTATAAGAATTTTTTGTAATATTAATCTTTATGCGGAAGTTTAATTGCAGAAGAAGAAAAGTTCACTTAGTATTTATCCAACACTTAACAATACGATATATAGAATAAATAAAGATGTAAGAATATTCTTCCATGAACAATTTAGTATAATTATTGTTACCTCGGCACGCCTAACGAGAAAATGTTAAGTCTTGTATTTAAGAATAATCGTCTTACACGTTTTTGTTTGTTTATTATATTGCTAATTGGGTGCATTCAGTATAATTTTAGTAGATTCTCATTGAGCCTTCACTCGGGTTACTTTTTATAAGTAACTAAGTTCTTTTTTTTCCTAGGTTAATAATGAATAATATAGTTTGTTTATGATCTATTCTAATGATATCGTTGAGTCTTAATAATACAACTAAGAATAGTTTTCGAAAACAATAACAAAATATATTTCCCATCGGATAATGCTGATTACTTTGATCTTCTAGCAAAACCAATGGACAATCATTGTTTCTAGACATTTATATCATGAGATTTGATATCTATCATAAAGAAATATCTTGTCCAGAAAAAAAGAATTTCATATCTTAATATCAGAATGTTTTACTTCTTATTCTAGATATCTTTTATTATTCCATTTCAATGAGTGATTCAATGGCAACTACAAATGAGAGCATGATTTGGTGTGCTAAGACAGGTGAACTTCAATCGTTAAAAACGCTTCTAAAAGAAGTAATTATCTGAAATAAAAGAAACCTATTTCGCTAAATTCAAATTTTTTCTTTTGCGTGTAGCATCCAGGGAAAGTAAATGAACAAATGAATGGTCGATCCTTATTACATTATGCAGCTGATGCAGGAAATTATGATGTATTAAAAGAACTTGTTGACAATGGTGCTAACGTTAACGTAAGAATCGAATAGATGCAGTTTTTTTAAAATTTTCTTTCTTGTTTGTTATTTTAAAGAGTAACGATAAATTTGGTTTAACTCCACTTTTGGCTGCTATTTATGAAGATCATACCGATTGTGTTAAATATCTTCTTGAACAGGTTAGTGTTTTAGTTTGTCCTTGAATAATAGCTGCCAATAACATGGATACAAATTTCTTTTGATTTCTCATCGATCGATGAGTCACCATCGTTCGTTATAATCGAATCAAAATCAATGACTATATTCAAATAATTCTTTATCTACATAATATTTGTTAAATTGTTTCCCTATGTATATACTAAACAGATGTATATTTTTGATTGATGAACTTAATAGAATCGTGATGCGTAGCCAACGAGAATGGCATAGCTACAGAGTACGAAGTATACAATCTATTAATAGAATTTACCTTACATTTTGTTTCTCTCTCTCTCTCTCTGTTAAGTTTCACAATACATTACTGCGATTCGAATTATGACCTTGAAGGACTAATAGGATCTATTTTTCTATTGAAATCAATTTATATACTTTGGTATATGATGACTCGTGTATTTAGTTTTACTGGATTTCTTTTAAATTAGAAAGGAAGAAATATATAGTTATTCTCAGAATGATTCTGGTAGCTGTCGAAAATAATCTATTATTACTCATAGTTCCATCATGGTTCGTCATGAAGTTTTACGCAGTTTGGTTTTGGTACCTTGAAAATGATTATCTTTCTTTCCTCTCTATTGGTTAATATCGTAATAGGAAAGTTGACGGAATGGCGTCGTTCTCTTAAACCTGAGTCATAAAGATGTTTCGAAAAATCGATTGCATAATTTTGATGACTCATGATCGAACTCAAGTTCACATTATTATCATCCATTTTGGGCGAATCTTACTTTCGAGTCTTTTATTGCTTTAAACATTTTATGCTGTTATGTCAATCTCATACACAAAATTTATCAAATAAATAATAGAATATTATCGTATTTATAAAAAAAATCTACCGTTGGCATAATGTACGAATAGTGCTTAATACCAGATTAATCAAAACGTTATGTTCGAAAAAATCATGCGTAAATCAATTCAATACTTCAGTCTTTATTAACGGTTTTTGGGTGCTTCCATAACTAGTAGTACGAAGGTTATTGAGTACAGTATTGAAATAGGCCCGCTTATGACAGGCGCAGATTTATTCTAGCGAGACAAAGAAAACACTTTTTCGTCTTTCTACCAAATTGCTGTTTTCTTTTCTCAAGGAAGAACAAAGGAAGGGTAGAAAAATATAGTCCACCCTTATCTGCGCCTTTTGAAAAAGCAACGATCACGTTAGTATAGACTCGAGCAACCGTTTCTCTCACGAGTGATTCATAATAGAAATATTGTGGCAAAAGAAAGAAAAGAAAAAAATATATAAAAGTATAGCGAACGAGGGCTTACCATTGGCGTCTATATAAAAGGAACGAAGGGCAAGCATTCGCTTAAACAAACGCTACGCACTGCATACACGACAAGGCGACAAGTACGATATATTATACAATAAGAATTTAACCTCAAAATGGTACGTGAAGTTCATGCATTAACCAGTTCAAATTGTTCCATTGATATTATTGCAATTAAACATGCTGCTAACGATGGTATACAAGCAGAAGAATTTCCAAACAAAGATGGCGTAACACATAAACATCATTCAAGTATAACAGACGATGAATCCGGTTTTTCTGAAACTGAAACTGAAACAATATCAGTACCATCATCACCTGTACCATTATTGAACGAAGATGATTATGAATTAGCATCAGTATTATCTGATGATATGAAAAAAGAATTTTGTTCGGATATGGGTTTTATATTTCATGCTGAATTTCAATTAACATTCGGTCGTTATTTTTTATCTGATCGATGGGTTCTAATGCCGTTAGGCATCGATGGTATTTTTCGATTGCCATCGGATTCATTATGCGATGTTGAAATAGCCAAAGTTCGATTTGAATGTGATTCCTGTTCGCATTGTTGGACATCAATGCGTGGACAAATATCATTTTTCTATGATTGCAAATCATATATTCTTTATTTTAAATTATTCGCACAACTTTGCGATCGTTGCAGTGTTACGTGTACACCATTATGGTATCCCGAAGAAGTGTGTCGTGTTATGCGAAATGTTTTCGTTGATGTTAATCAACGTGTATATCCAAATTTAAAAACACCAATTCAATCAAATCATCATCGTCGTTTCGGAAATCCAAAAGGACAACATCATGGATGTGAATCCTGTCGAGATGGTGTTTGTGTTGCTGTTGCTGAACAACAACTTGGTTGTAAACTTATTAAATAGACTTTTCCAATCTCGACTGTTTTTTTCTACTAGAAGAAAGTATAATTGTTGCTTTCGTTGAGCGTTTCTCGGTGGATCTAGTCATCTTATCAATTTTTTCCCATCTCGGTATTACTATGTATATATTTACGAAGGCCCATTGTTTTTGAATGTTGTTTACGTTAGTTTTGATCGTGTAAAATTGAAAAGATTCACGATCGTGTCAGTACATTATATAGGCTGTCGATTTTTCTTTTTTGAATTATTTGTAGTTTTTTTCTTTTCTCGTTAATATCGTTTAACGCAACTATTATTTTTTGCTTCTACTATATAATATAAAAAAGGAAAACGATATAAATTATACTGCGACTTCTAATGACAATAGGTCATGTATCAGACCATAAAACAGTAGATACTTATCAATCAGAAAAAATGTCTTTGAAACATCTAAATATGAAAATATTGTATTTAAAAATCTATTTTCTGTTTTTAGCGTGCTGACGTTAACGGTAAAAATCCAGATGGTGTTCCATATGATCAATGTTGTACAAACGAAGAAATTCGCGCATTGATTATCAAATACAAGAAGTCAAACAAATAAACTTCCAAATCTTAATATATGCAATATACATATATATTCTTTGACTTATTGTCTTCCTAAAACTAAATTAATCTCTTCTATATTTGATTGTTATATTGTTCATTCTTTCTTAATTCGCTTTCGTAATCGTGATTCTTTTTCTTTTTTTGATTTTAAAACAAACCACAGCAAAAAAAGAATATTGGCTATATTTGACTTCAAATTGAATTGATTGTGTTTGATGAAGAAAATATATTTAAGGCAATAAAAATAAAAGCTGATTAATTTAAAAAGTGTTCACTGTTTTAAAGGCAAGCTTAATACTAGGATAATCATCAGACTGGAAAAGGAAATTCTGAAGAGTTCCTGTGTTAAACGATCAATTGAATTTCTCATGATATCATTTACGTAGAATTCAAAGAGCAAAACTATGTACTTTGCACCGACAGCAGACAAAAAAAAGCGTGAACGATTAGAAACAATCTTTTAGGATTCAGAAACCTCATAAAGGTCGGTTATACTTCTTCATTAAACAGGGTTTCATATTTTCCAATTCAATTTTTATATGAAACTTAACTCATTCATAATTATTAGATTAATTTGGATGAAAAGCTTTTTTTAGAACCTTTGGTTGCAATTTAATCTAATTAGATATGAAGTCTCATAAATCTAGACGTGTAAACATGACGTGTACCCTACTTTTATATAAAAACAAAATCAATTGGACATTTTTTTTATCATTTAGACAAAAAATAGCTCAGTGTTTTGGTTTAAGCACGATTGTGAAGAAAGTTGAATTTTCTTTTTTCATACGTGATATTTTAAACAGATAAAATATTTGATTTCGGATAAAAAAAATTGCTTCAGCGTCAATTTATATTTAATATTACATTTTGATGTATCCTTATGATATTATTTTTTTTCGTTCTTATATTGAGTTTACTCCGTCCACTCGTATTTATTACAAAAAATATATATATATATATAGATATATATATTTACATCTGCGTTTATCATTACTACAAGGTTCCTTTTCTTTTATTGCTATATCTATAGATGTCGAATCAGATGAAACGAAAGTGTGAAGTCGTACTATTTGATCAGAATATTGTTCCTACAGAGATTTAACCCAAGAAAGAGGAGAATAAAAAGTCTATGGTTAACGAGAAAAAATTAATCCTATCCGAATATTTATTAGATTCTATGAAAGCAAAAGAAATGCATTCCTTCAATCAATCAGATATTATTATTTGATCGATTGTAGATATATCTATAATCGCTTTAATGTAATCATTGACAACTAACGTCATCTATTCAGTTATGTCATTGTGTTGCTAACGAGCAAAGAAACCGGGGAGAATATAAGAAGAATGGCGAACTAGTGGTTGCGTGGTTAATGTTGAAATGGCGATGAAAGTATGTAAAAAGAGAAAGGAAAAAAGTGCTACTAACCGCTTTGTTCAAGTGAGTAAAATTTTGTCATTCATTCATCCTAAGGTAAAGAACTGCGACGAGTCACATAAATCATCGAGTGATGAATGACGAACAACGAAGAACAAGAAAAAAGAATTTTCAAACAAGATTTTGTACGTGAATTTTGTTTGAATTGAAATTCTAGAGACGCAAATGTTTGGCGGTAGTGGTAGATTGGATAAAAGTGTTTTTGTTCTTCATTGTTATAGAGCTTCTTCGATACTTCTTCTCCTATTCTCTGCTGTCTTCTTTTCGATCTTACAACGAAAAAAATATTTGAATAATATTTGCCCGGCATTGTTTCGCATCTCTGTTACTTCATTATTTAATGAATAGAAGACGAGAAGAGAGGAACAAAAAAGAAAAAGAAAAAGAAAAAAGAAGAAATTACATATTGAACCTTAAATGTACTACTAACAATGAAGCGTTTCTCGAGGTGTATTTACGAGAGTTCTCAATACTATTTATTTATTTATTCTTTATATGAATAGATATTTCTCTGTCTCTCTGTCTCTCTGTCTATTGTGAATATTTCAGATAATTCCAGATGCCGACTAAAATAGAAGGCCGATCATCATCGCATGACTTAATTGACGATATAGTCGAAGCACCATCATTTATGTCGAATTCCGTTTCATCGGCTATGATGGATACTTCAAAAATATTACCAGCTAGACACTATTCGAGTTATTCAAATATTCCCAGCTTATTTAATAATAAATCAAAACTAGAACAAACCGATGGTTCATCAACGCTTTTAACTAATGAACTTCGTGATCGTCTACATTTAACATTGCCACGTTCAAGTTCATCATCAACAATGATGAGTAATGATGAACGACGAAAAGAACTTGATCTTGTTTTAAAACACTTGTATGATGGAAAATTGTTAACATCCATGCATGATGATCGACAATCATCGGATATCTCGGAAGCATCAATACCTATGTTAACGAAAGGGCCAATTACAAAAACAACAACAACAACAACAATAATTAAAAGCGACGATGAAAGTAAACACAATGTTGGAAGTATAGAAGTAAGTTTACTATTTCGTACACATCGAGACGAAATCGATACAGCACGAGAAGAAGAGAAAAAAAGACTTGAAATTTATTTATTCAAAGTTCAATATATTGACTTTGTCCCACTTGCTAAACTGAATTGTAGTCTGTTGAAAAGACTTTAGATATGATAGTCTCGCATAGGATCACTGAATAGAATGATACAATTTGTTTTCTTCTTCTCCATGACACCCAATGAATTATAAATTAAAATTATTCTATCGAAAAGATTTACAATTGTTGATTGAAATTCTTTTTCTATAGCCGCAAAGAAATTCAATAGATTTTTTTCTTTGACAATTTTAATAATCAATAATAAAAAAAAGAAACTTTATTGACATATTACGCTTGAAAATATCATAAAGAAAACATTACGAAAATTTTTTATTGTGCTCTTGTCTAGATGCTCTCACTCGATGATGATTGTACATCTCTTCAACGGGAATTACAAGAAAAAGAACTTGATATAATACATTTAAGTAAAGAAATTCAAGAATTACAATTAGAAAACAAATTACTCAAAGCTAAAGTACCAGTTCTATATCAAAATGGCCATACCATTGTAAGTTCTTATTATAATAAAAGAAAACAAATTTCTTATCATCATCTATTTAATATAGAATAATAGTGAAACTGAAACATTGCGTCGCGAAAAAGATGTTTTACAAAATGAATTGCGTGCTCAACAAGAGTTAGTTGCTAAAATTCAACAACAACAACATCAAAATGGTGTTGTTGCTCGTTCAAATAAATTCGATGAAGCATCTATATATCAACGGGAAGCATTAGAAAAGAAACTAAGTTCGTATTTTAATTTCTTTCTAACAAAAACAAATCTCTATTCTTTGCTGTATAATTTAGAGGCGTATGAAAAACAAATGCATATATTGGCAAATGAGAATGATAAATTAAAACAAAATGTGCAACAAACCGATCGTACAATAACGCAATTAAAACGAGAAAATGAAGAATTACAACTAAAAGTATGTAGCTGAAATAATAATAGATAGTGATAAATAGAAATTTTTCTTTTGTCTTTTTTAAATGATCTATAGAAAATTAATAAAAGACTTGCCATACTTCTTTCTTTGGTCGATCCCTCATTTGCATCGAATACTTTTTTCTCTCGAGGGAAAAAATATTGTCAGGTTGTTTTGCATGAACGCATGAGTTTAGCTACCTAGTTAATTTATGATCAAAATGATGAATGATTTATTAATTTACTGATGTATTCTAGGTTACGGAAGCTAAAAAACGTAATGATGAATTACTTTATCAAGAATTCAATTCACTTCGCAATGATTTAAAGTATATTTATGCTTTTTGTTCTTATAAATGAAACATATTTCATTGATATCTAGAATGCTCAAACTACAAAATGATGAATTATTTCAAGAAAATCATCGGTTACAACAAGATCAACAGCGACAACAACAAAATCTTGCTTGGCGTGCAACTCTTCAGCAAGCATTTTCTACTGAACCACTTCCAGCGCCCTCGCAGCAGCCACAACAACAACAATTGCAGCAGCAACAGCAACAACAAATATTGCCGATTGAAAATGTACCAACTTCATCACCATTAAAATTATCTACTACAGATCAAAGGCGTGAACGTTCAAAAAGTAAATATGCATGACGTCAATCGAAATAGTTGAATCAATTCTTACAGGATAAACAATATTCAAGATTTTTGTAAATACGAACGAGATCGAAATTATAATTAGAGAACGAAAGTTTTGTAAGTTTGATTAAGTAATCGTATTGTCTCAGTTCTTGGAGTCACTTGGTCAAGTTAAAGAGTGAAAGAAAAATATTTATCCATTGAAGTTGAACGAAAAGTGATTGTAAGATTGCCGTTCTTTTTCGCTCTAGTAACTATGCGAAGTGAAAGTCCAAATTTGTCCGAAGGAAGTGACTCAACAAATTATTTAACAACTGTTAGCGTTGAACGTTATAATAATCGACCGATAACATCCGTACATCGATCAGCAACCATCGATGGTAATAATCATCACCGTACAACAAGATACGGCCCTGTGGTTGGACAAGAAGAATATCATCGAAATAGTTTTTCAAGTGCAACATCGAAATCAATGGATCCACAACTAAATTATCGTTCGTCGAAAACAAAGCGTTCTGTTGAATGGGATGAAGAAAATATTCAACAGAATGAAGGTAAATTTCATACCATAGAGAAAAAAAAATGATAATAATAATAATTCTTTATATATATATATATCATACAATACATTATATGTATTAAAGGGGAATAATAGAATAAAATAAATAGCTTCTTTTTTTTGCCCCTAGACCCCTTAAAATACGCATTAGTACCATATGGCGGTAAAGAAAATCCTTATCTTTAAATTGTTGAACACTAAGTCACATACACATCGTATATCGTAGTTATTTCTTATGTACTATTATTGTTAATTCTTTCTTCTATAGTTGTTGTAGTAACACATGCAGTAGACGTTTTCACTATTCACTTTTCTATATTTTTATATGCTTGTTTTTCTTTTTCTTTTTTTTTCTTTTTAGGACTACAACATCGAAGTAAATAATTAATGTCAATAATTTCAGTATAGATTTGTATTGTTGTTTTTTCTTGTTATATTAGATATGGTCAGTTATGACAATCAAAATCGTTTACAACGACAACATCCAATGGATGGGCCCAATGATTATATGTCTCAACCACCACAACCAGTACAATCATCCTCCTCCTCATCACATTTATATCAACAAAATTATGGTCCAAATCGAAGTGTTACATTGACCGATTCTCAACAGAATACACGTCGTTCTAATAGTTATAATATGCCTCAGCGACAAATTCATAACGAAAGTGATTTACAAAATGATGGTATGAAGAATAAATATGCTGTTTTTGTTTTGTTGATGAATCGATTCTATTGATTAAGATCGCCATCAGGGTCGTCATCGTCGACCAAGTGTTGAAACAACTAGGTAAACGAGATTAATAGTATGATCTAATATTCGATATTGTTTTCATTTTCATACAGTCCACGACGTCCCTATGCTCCATCATCGATTAGTGATATTCGTTTAAATGATATGGTTAAATTTTCTCGGCCGGGTGGTAAAATAAGTAAAGGTATCGTCAAATATATTGGTACATTACCAGGCAAAAGCGATCAATATCTTGGCTTAGAATTAGAAGATGAAGGTAGAAGAGAAGGATCTGAGTATTTTTCATTTCTAAAAATTAATATTTCTATTTACTAGAGAGTAAACATGATGGTATCTATCAAGGGCAACGTTTGTTTCAATGGTAAAAATATGAATATAAATCACATGAAATTCTATTTTTTCTTTCTTTAGTAAAGCGAATAAAGGAGTATTCGTTGGTTTTAGCAAAGTGATTATGGCATGGAGTGGAAAATAAATGCATAATAGACATGAGAATCTCACTATATAGTTTTCCGTTTTTCTTTTAAATGTGTATATATAGTTAAACTATCGATCTCTTCCTCTCATGATCTGTTGTTTCTTGGACATGAGTATCTTGAATGGCCTTATTTACTCTATTAAGAATAATTGATATATAAGAACAAACAAAATCTGATAATTTCTTATACAAAAGAACTCATAGAAATATTCTGAATATAATATTGTTTTGTTTTCTGTTGCCTTCATATTAAAAACATTTTATTGTCAGAGTAGACAAAGCTAAATGTGAATTTTCTCGTGTTTTCTTCCCGCTTATTATAACCTCCTTTTCTTTTAATTATTCGTATTTTACGTAGAATGGATTGCTCCAAATATACAGTGACAATCTATATTTGTTTAAAGAATAATTTATCATATTAATTACCAATCACATATACGATAATCTTTTAGAAAACACCCGTATGGAATATTTATATCGGTTTTTCCTTCATTTAGTTGTCGATAAGTATCAATAATTGGATCAAGAACACGTGCAGCAGCATCTTCTTCGTCGAGTGGTGTTTGAAAATCTCGAGTGATCATTGATTTCATTGCTTTTTCTATTGGATTTTCATCATTAATCCAGCCTATGTATAGCGAGAGAAAAGATCGTAGCTTGAAAAATGTAAATTTATCTTCATCAATGTACCTGTATCAACAGAAACCATATAGATATTTGATTGTTGATAATCTTGTGCTGATGTACGTGTCATCATATTTAATGCAGCTTTTGCTGCATTGGTATGAGGATGTCGATTAGTTTTATTACAACGAGAGAATGAACCTTCCATAGCTGATACATTTATAATAAATTTAACACTATCCGGATTTGGATGTTTATCAGTCATGAGTATTTTAAGTTTACTATTGAGAATAAAGGGTGCTAAAGTATTTATAGTAAAAACTTCGTTGATTTCAGTCGTTGATAAATCTTTTAAACGTGATAACCATGAATTAGTTGAATGATAATCAATAGGCTGCTGATTTACATCAAATGATGTTTTACAAATTAATGAAGATGTTGGTTGAGAAATATCCTTTGATTGATTGGTTGAAGTTAAAGACAATAACGATCTATCTTGAATGCAATTGGAAAATGGAACTAATCGTTCGTAAAATAGTCTATTTCCATCGAGAATCTTTTGTTGATCGGTGGATAATAAAGAATAATTAGTTAATCGTTCATGAGCAGTTAAATGTTGATAATATTCTTTTGATCGTTGAATAGTTTGACAAGCATTATTAATTAAAAAATCTAATCGATCATATTTTTCAATTAACATTTGTGTAAACCATTCTAGAAGTTGTGAATATCGAAAATCAACTCCATAAATATGTACACGATTTTTCCATTGTTCAAAATCTTGTTCTTTAGTTAAACGAGTTAAAAAGTCTACGGGAAATCGACTTGTTGTTATAACAAAACAATTAGCACGTAATAATTTTAGAACGATTCGATATCCAATTTTGACTCGACCACCAGTAACTAAAGCAACTCGACGTGTCAGATCCGTTGTTTGTAAACGTTTTTCATAATTAAATTTGGCACACGCTGGACAAAGCGAATCATAAAAAAAATGTAACGTACGATATTTAAGTTTACATACATAACAAACTCTGTGCTTAAGTAATCGTCGTTGTTTGTGACGTTCGTTATTATCTTTTGTTGATTCCGTTTCTACAACGCCATCAGGCACGATGATACTTTCTAATTGAAGTTGTTGAAGGTTTTTCTTTCGACCTGATCGGAGTAGACAGGAATTTTTCAATTTTTTGTCAATGGATTTTATTCGGACGCGATCTTTTTGTTTTTTCTTTCGATTGAAACGTTTGCTGATGCGATGCAAATTCTCGATTAATGGTCGAATATTATCATATTCACTGGATTCAATGGATGGAAATTCATCGTTATCGATAAATTGCGAAAGAACTTTTATACACGTTGTTAGTTCATTCGATGTAATTGACATGATGAAGTTTTCAGACAGTATAGAAAAAAGCTGTGTAAACTGTCCGCAAAATTTGAAAAATATTCATTTGCACAAACTCGTGCTTTGTAATTTCACAATATTATAATGTTATGACCAGAAAGCATGACTCATTTCATGATCGAAACCTTCAACCCACCATCCTAAAAGAAAAAAACCGTCCGCTCCATATTTCTCAACCTTAGAGAAATTTAGACGAAATCCTAAAGATAGATATACATCAAATCTTCCACTACAATATGAGCTTTTTTGTTGTTGTTATGGTTGCTTCATTAAATTTCTATAGAAATGTTCGGATTATTTTCCGTTGAAAAAAGGATGAATTCTTTTAGCCGTTGTTGCTCTGCGCGCACGCCTGAGAATTGTAAAAGGAGCTTCATTAAACCGAGCTGTCTTTTGTATTCTAATTTAAAAAGAAGCATTTAAGGTTACTGTGTATGGCATAGTCGGTTTTTGAATAAAGAGTTTTTTTCTTCTGTTTATTAGTATTATAAAAAGCACTTCTATTAATAAATGAACATGTTTTGAAAGACATTCTAGGTAGTGTTTGGACTTGTCATTCTTTTTCTCTGCATATAAATTAAGGATAAGGAAAAAGAACTCGTCGAGGCACTACAATCTGGCATGCTTCTTCAAATAAACGATATTAAATTTATAGTATAAGAGTCTATCGAGCCGATTCGATTGTCAAAAGAGCTATCGCTTATTAAACACAAACGGCATTGTGTAGAATTTTAGATTTCATGTGATTTCTTTGTATTTATTTCAAGAGTGATGTTTTAAACGCATGTTAGTTCTAATACAAAAGATTAAAATATGAGTTTTGAAAGACTCTTCTCTTCATTAATATGTAAACTCTACAGTAGTATTTAAATAGAATCTAATTCAATGTAAAATGACACATGCATCCTATTTAATGATGTAACGAGACTGACGGACCATTTGTTTCGGTATCAATGCGTCATTTGTTACTTGGCGTCTATATTGAAACCATAGATGCAATTCTTTTAAACAAATAGCTAAAAGAACAAGGTCTTCTCGTTTTATTTTCACCTTTTTTTTTATCAAGTGTGCTAGAAAATATGTGGGAACATTTTCTACTTGATCTACTCTTCATTATTCGTAATTCGATCATCACAGTTTTTTTCTCTCTCTCTATATATATATATCTAATTGCTCTTTAGATATTAATCTTTCAATAGGTGCTCATATTCGTGTGTGTAATCAAGGTGTTTATTTAACTAAATGTTATCTTCAGTCACAAACATTTAGTTACGGCTTTCAAATTCGTAAATATGATACGGAATTATTTCCAATTTTTCAGTGTACAACATTAGATCTACCTTTGGATAGTTATTGGAATTATCTTGAATGTAAAGCGTTGACTTTTATTGCTATTTATAGCACAATTTTCACACAAGAATTGTCGACATCATTACTTAATACTTGCTATACAATTAGAGGAACTATTTTCAATCCAACATGGTCAGAAACAAGATGCTATTAATGCAAAGACTTACTTCTTTTTTCAGTAACAATATTGAGTATTTGAAATTTTTTATTTCTTAGTATTAAAATAAAAAAAGAGACTAGCTAAATCTCTTCGGAAAGGTCAATCATGTGTATGTAAATGCCGCTTGCTACGGATTTGTTTGTATTCTGTTTTCAATCACAGATATTCTTAATGAAATTAGTATTTTTTAACAGATGGTAATTGAATCCTCAAGAGAAACTATCTAATAGACTATATAATATATATGTATATCTATGAAATAACAATCATGAACGTCTTCATATCCGATAGCTAGTGACATCTAGGCAAATCCGCTTTAAAATATCTCTATATGGTCACGATGAAACGTAGCGACATACGTTATGTTCTGTTATGTTTTGTTCACCGCTTAACCACTTGACCGACAGACTTAGATAAATATGAATCATATTTATCATTCGTTGTAGTCCTAATTCCAATGAGATACATTGGTCGTTCTATTTTCCTGTCCATTCGGTCGCACTGAAAAAATAAAAGAAGAAAAAATTAAATCAGCCTTTTTCTTCTTTCCTTTGCTGACTACAAAGCAGCTTTTATTTTCAGTTTTACAAAACCTTGAGTCAATACGAGAAAAATACAACCTATTTACTAATGTGACTCGTAGCTTCTTGTGTGAAAAGACTTTTTTTTTCTCTGGATGGAACAGCGTGCTGATTTACTATTAAACGAATCTTTTCTATTTTTCTAGTTAGTCTATATCATGCTGTGTGTATTTTCTTCTTTTTTCTTACATTTCTTATTTTAGCTAATCTTCTTTTTTTTTGTTTTGGTTCAATAGACGAAAAACAATAATAAATAAAAATGACGACCAGTGATGGCGTCGCACTTCGTCATCCTCCAATATCGATGGTTGATATTCATCCTCGATTAGATATTGATACAATATCAATTCTTAGCTCACAATCGGATAGTGTTCAACATTTATCTTCCTATATTGAATCTGATGATGAAGGCAAAGGTTTAGTTGGTAGTCATTCATCTCGTTTACATGATTCAAATGCTCAATCATCATCTTTAACATCTTCATCGTCTCAACATCAACCAGCAGCATTTAAAAAAGACTGGGCAATGTATCTAACAAAACCTAGTAATGGTCATCATAATAAACATCGATATAATAATGAAAGTTCAAGTGAAACAAGTGACAGTGATGATAATGATGAATCATCATCAAGTATATCCAATGGTGATGAAAGCGAACAAGATGCTGTCGATGATCCATGGACTATCAACAATGTACAACGAGAATATTATACAAAACAATTTAAAGATATTCAACCAGATGTAACCAAAGTTATTAGTGGTAAGCTAATCTAAAACGCAAATCATTGTTCATAATTTGTTTCTTGCTTGCAGGTAATATAGCGAAAGAATTTTTTGAACGTTCACATTTACCAACAAGTGAATTATCACAAATCTGGAATTTATCTGATGTAAATCATGATGGCGCACTATCACTTGCTGAATTTTGCACAGCTATGCATCTTGTTGTTTTACGTGTTAATGGTTTCGAATTGCCCGATGAATTACCAACACAATTACAACCATATGCACCGCTTATTGATCTATCAGATTCGACAACTATTCTATCGCAAACAAATGAGCAATCAGATAATTGGGCGAACTTTAAAGATACAAACAGTGAATTAACAATTACAACAAGCCTAGAGGAAAATTCAAATAATTCACCAAAACAATTTATCTATGGACCTCCACTTGCTGACAATCATCGTATTGTAGCACCAGTACCTGTTCGTCTTTCGTCTTCGCCACCATTACCACCACCGGTCGTTGTTGCAGTGGCAAAGCCACCTCCACCACCACCACGTGCTCCTGGTCGAACAGCATCTCTTGATATTGCTCATCAGCCAATATTACCTCCACGTACGATTCTTAATGATACACCTCAACGCAATCCTATCCTAACAACAACTAATGCTAACAATTCATCAACAACACCATATCTCTACAATCGAACACGCCCATCAATAGTATCAGCACCTCAACAGTTGGATGCAAATCTTCTGTTTGGACAAATACGTGATTTATTGCAACCTGATCATTTGCAAGAATTAGCATCTATTATATCAACACCATCAACAACGACAATAGAAAATCTTCATACGGCATTAAATCAAACTAAAACTCGAAATTTAGTACTTAAAGCACAACTTAAACATTGGGAAGATCGTCTTACGGATTTAATCGATAAACGTATTTCATTGGAACTTCAATATAAATTACAACAACAGCAGCCATAACACTTATTTTTTTTTTGTTATAATCGAGTTTTTACATTACATCCATATATATGTAATTATAGGAAGAGAGTCTATTTTTTTTCGCTTCTTTTGGTTCGATTCAATCGGCAATTGATCTTTTTTTGTTGCTCAACGTATTTCTTCAAAGCCTTTTTCTTATTGTCTGGAAACAATAATTCTCTCTCTTTCGTTTTTTTTCGGTTCTTCTCAAGAGTTGATACTCATCTGTCAACATGTACACATTTATTATGATATATAAATATATATTCTATGGTCTTTTTTTTTCTTCTTCATGTTATTCGATTTCATCGAATGAAAACTAAATATAGATTTAAACATTTTCAATATAATCGAAAAGAAATATATCTTTGAAAGCAGAACATGAATGAAGAAATTGTCAATTAATGCATCGTTTTTTTAAATTTATTCTAGATATACTTTGATAGACTATTCCGTTAATAGGGTCCTGTCAAGTATTAATTCTATTATAGACTTTTCTATAGAGAAATACATATTCACCAAATCTTTTGATTGATACAGTAAGGAACAAAAGCTTCTAATAAATATTTAGTATTTATTTTACTACTTTGATCTAAAACTAATTAACGATAATTGAATGATTTAAATGCACTTATAAAATTCAGGGTCTAAGGCGTTTGTTCTAATTGATGGAAATAGAAGAAGAAAATTAAAAACTTTTCTTCTAGATAAGAACAATATAGCATACTACGAATAGCTAGAAGCAAAGTCAAATTTCTTTGGTTATGCAATCAATCAATTAATGAATGATAGTTTGTAACATAATCCCATCGCATAGCATCCCACACAACATAATCCAAAAAATATCGAGATTAAGGTCGTTTTGATCAAGTCATTTGTGATTGTTAAGAAATTCGCTACATGATACGGCCATGATTTCTCCTCCTATAAATGAAACATCATGTTGTTTTATTGATAAATGAAATCATCATCGAGGACCCATTGACTTTCAGATTGTTCATGTGAAATAAAACACATTTTATATCGTAATGCTTCTTCAATTTTTGCTTTCGGTGTGATCAGTGATGTAGAACTATTTTTTTCAATATATCTGATTAAAAGCGAAAACTTATTTTGGATCTGTGACCTTGATCAAACCAATCATGCGTAAAATCAAATTTTTCTTATAACGTGCACAAGCTTTTCTCGCTGAATATTATCGAAACTATGGAGAATAGAGCAGAATGAATTCGGTTAATTTCAGGTATTAATTCTGAAGTACTCGGCGAAGACGGGAAAAAAATGTCGATAAAAATTTATTTGCAAAAGGATTGACGCTTGAATGTCATTATAGGTACTAACAAACGATAAAAAATAAGTGAAATTCTATATCTACTCGATCGTATAAAAGCTGAGACGATTTAATTTATACTATATTTAGAGTCAAGGAGACCATTATTAAAAGATTTACAAATTAATCAATGATGTTCTCGCTTACAATTTATTTTTTTTTAATTTTCAGATGGTTAATATCTTTTTGGAATTTTCGTTAAATATTCGTCAACAAGACATTTTCTAAATTTTGTATGCGAATGGATGACACTTCCCATGTCTTTTTAATAAAAGATAAAATCCGTTGTATTCAAAAGAAAATTATGGACCAATTAGCTGCTGATCTGAATAGTGCATTGAATGATGCGAATATTTTAACATCACCATTATCAAATGTTCCATTGACGTCATCATCATCGTTTTCAACATCATTGAAAATAAAACGTCGTCGAAAACGTCCTGTTAACAATGAATCACAACAACAAAAAACTGAGGCATCAGATAGTACAACACCGGAAAATTCACGAAATCGAATGGGTATTAGTAAACAATCTGCAAGTGATGGCGATGATTTGCAAATGCCATCAAGTAATATAGAAAAAAAAACTGATATATTTTAGGAAACCTAAAATCAATATAATGTATTTCTATTTGTATATAGAAACACAATCCTCATCATTAATTATCGCATCTGAATCCGATTCAGCTTCACAAACCGATGACATACGGCGGCGACATCGCCCATTTAAAAAGCCAATAATTCCATCTACATCTCTGACGAAACTTGAACAACCTATTAAATTAATACGTTGCTCCAGTATGAAAGTATCGAGTTCGACAATAAACCCAACAACAACAACAACAACAATAAATGCAAATCTAAATCATCGATGTCAAAATTGTCGAAGCACAGGCAATTGCCGCAAAATTGATACTGACGATGATCCATCGGCACCATCATCAGCATCATTGTTTTCATTAGCTATTGCGAATATTAACTGTAATGGTAAACGTAAACGGTCACGTGCAATTATTCATGATGATTTTCGTCTCGGAAACAATAGTCTACATGATTATGATATGACATGTGGTGATGATCCGAATCTGTAAGTTTTCATGAAAGAAAATTTATTTTCTGAATAGTTACATTTTTACTATTTTTAGAACCAATATTAGTAGTGACAGTAGCTTAAATTTAAGCGACAGTGATAAAGATCCTTGTCTAACTAGTAATGAAGCTGACGATGAACAATCAGATTGGCCACGAGATGAAAGTAGTATACCTCGATGTTTATCATGGAAAGAAGATGGTGACAATAATAATGCTGCTGCTGCCGACGATGACGATGATGAGAAAATGTTAACAACAAATGAAGGAACTTTAGATAAAATTGTTAGCGGTGCATTTAATATGGTATTACATACTTCAAAAGATACAATAAAAAATCGAATCAAATCATTTGTTAATCGAGAAATGCTAACAGGAAATCGAAGAAATATTAGTTCAAAAGTAAGATACAATTATATAGCATACCATTAGTGTAAATTTTTTTGTTTTTTGCCCTTTGAGTTTTGACTGATTTTTACTTTATTATGACCAATTGATTCTTTCAATTACATGGTAATTGTAAAAACTAAATAAAAATCATTTAGTTTTGCGTATCAATTACACCTGAAGTAGTACTTCTGCAGAAATTGTTATTCTATTTTTCATTCGATATTCATTACCAAATCATAATATAAAATTAGGCAATATTTATCGATCGAGGTTGATATTTATGTTTTGACTCTGCTCGTTGACGTCTTCCGGAAGGCAAAAAAAACTGAAGATGAGAGACTATGTTAAAAATAAATCTTCTAGATTTAATTTCTCGTGACAACTTGGAATGTATCCGGCTTCGAAATCCCAACAGAATTCAGAATTATTGATTGCTTTTAATCAAAAAATAGTATCTAAGTTTGTTGACTTAAAAAGCGCTATGTTCCGGGAAACCAAACCATCGTAAACTGTGTAATAATAAAAAGAAAATCTTTACACGTAACTAAAATATAAATAAAATATCTTGAATTTTAATACTCAATCCATATTAACAGTCCAAAATATAAAGATCTCTCTCTCTCTCTCATAACATTTAGCTAATCCACATTCAATTCAAGGCTATAAGTTGACCTCAAATTATAATTGTAAACCTTGAGTTAAAATGTCTAGCATAATATTGATATATATATATATATATATATATATTATCTAATAGAATAGTATTGTTTGTAATTTAGAATAATTATGCACATCCTCATCTGAAGCGACATGTTCGCTTATTAAAAGAAACGCGTCGTTCTCATCATAATAGTTACAATCATAAACGTGTTAAAAGTGAACACTATCCTCCGAGACATCGTAAGTTTCTATTTATAATTATTCATTGTTTTACCCTATGAACAATAGATGATATTGTTGCACCGATTGATTCAACAAATATTGGTCATCAATTATTAGAAAAAATTGGTTGGACACCCGGCAATGGTCTAGGTTTAAATCAAGATGGCATCACAGCACCTGTAGACATCAATTATCATAATTGTAGACAAGGTTTCGGCTATGACAATACGTCCATTGATACAATCGAACGAATGGAAAGTGAACATCAACCACCGTCTTCATCTAGTCATCCATCTCATGTATAATTGCGATTTTATTTTAATTTTATATATTAACTTTTGTTCGACATGTCAAAAAAATAAATAAATTTAAAAACCAAAAAAAAAAGTCTCAACATTTTGTTTTTTAAAGTTTCGTAAATGTGTATTATCATACAAAACGCATTTAAAAGCTACAACAGATATCACCGAGAGACATTAGCGCAATTGCGTATGCATCTGTTCACAGAAAAGAAAGAAACAAAAATTTAAACAGAAAAATAGTCGAGCAGTCGTCATCATCATAATTAACAAAAGTAATACATGCGAAAAATAGAGAAACGCAGTAAGAAAAAAAAAGAGGTAAATTAATTGAACACATAAAAAGACAAAAATAAAGAACCAGAATAAATTTTATCACCAGGGTGAAGTCGATTATCACCAATAAATATATTGAGAAAAACGGGGAAAATCTCTTATCATAAATTGAAGGCTCGTATGTTATCTTAAAAGCGTTTTGTTTCAATCGTTACAATATCATCATCACATTGGTCGTCGTTTTCGTGTATGTTATGAATTTTTGTATCTCCTAAAGGCTTTCCTATTTTCGTCCCATAATTTGTCCTTGCTGCTTTACTGAATGCGACGGTAGAAACCGGTTGTACTTGATTACTTGATTTTTGGTGTACACTACTAGGTTTTGATTCATTTTGAAATGAAGACGATGGTTGAATATTTGAGGGATTAATTTGAATATTTGATTTTTTATTTCGTAGTGGTGCTGGCAATGCACTACCATCAATATCTTCGGAGAATGCTGATGCTGCAGAAAACGGTCGTTCAGAACCAAATTTTGAACTGCTTGTTCGACTGAAACGACGTACTGTACGATAGAATGAACTACGCATTGAACTCCATTTTGGTGTATTCCATATTTCAGCAACACCAATTTTTGTCCAATAAAAATGTGTTAAAAATGCACATGCACCTATAATAACTAAAACAAAAATTGAGAATTTTTTTGTTTTTATATGTAAGAAGTAACAAGAAAGATTTCGAATAGATTCAACATACTTAATACGAAGACTAGAACGACAATGACAATAATATCTGTGGTTAAATAACTCTCGGTCATTGGCGGCCGACAAAGAAGAACGAATGGCACACCTAAGAAAATAAACATCAAAATTTCTTCTTATGATTGCAATCAATAGAAAATATTATTATTATTATCAAATAAATACATTTGTTTTTTCTTGACATTTTACTTACTTCGTCGTCTTCTTCTTCTTCTTCTTCTTCTTCTACGCGTATCTAACAAACTTTAAGCGGTTTTCTAATAAAATGAATCGCTACATTTATGTAACAATCGAACTTTTTTTTTACTGTTAAACCTATGCATATTCAGTCTTAATAACTACACGAATCACACACTATGAAAAATATATCTAGCTATTGCCTTCACCTATATGTCATAAGAAGCAGAAGAAAAAGCGAATGCCTTCCTTTCTTTTTTCAACTGTCAAGGATATTCTGACGACTCACATTCATCGATTAAATTGTCGATTTGACGTCACCATAAATACTGGACCAAAATTGAACCATGATGATTGTTCATTGATTGAGTTAATAATGGCTAGTACCTTCAATTATTATAGTACTCATCTTCTATATCATTTTCTTTTTCTTTGTCATCAAATGTATAGTCGTTGTATAGTTCAAGATCAACACATTTATATGCATAGAAATATATTCAACAGTGGCCGGCGCGACCAAGAATTGTGTCAACAAATATAATAGACTCAAAAATGTGCACACATGTAGAAGAGTAGCTGGTTGTATGTGTATTAAGAACTTGCCGATATAAATGTATGATGTGGCCTTTCCTCATACATCAAGACAATAAGAAAGAGAAAAGAAATGAGCTTTCTGTTTATGCCTGCGTCGCGCAATAAACACAACGAAAAAAATGTGTGCGTGTTGATCACGAAAGAGAGAAAAAAATTCAGTTTTTTACCACAATAAAAACATATAGAGAAGAAAAGCGATGGTTTCTTCTTTTTTTTATTACTATTTTTTATATCTGTGTATAAAGAAATTGTCAAATAATCTCTCTATCTCAATGTGTGATATTTACCTTCATAAATTCTCCTGGGTTTAATCGCAAATTATCATTTAAAATGTCTCATCTTGAGTAATAACGATAACACACGATACTTTTACAGCTAAAACAAAAACATCTATCTGAAATATAACAACAGGTTACCTTGGTTTTCGTTAAAAGCTAAGAATTATACATGAATGCACTCCGACATATTAAACTAATCTTTTTTTTCTTTCCGCCATTGATTGCGAATTGTTGGTTTCTTACTAATTTCTTTGGCATTCACGTAGAATAATATTAGAAATTTTATTAATTTCAAAAGAAATCATAACGGGAAGTAAAGATCGTGATGTATTGAAAAATAAATAATTTTAGGGAAAAGTAAAGTTCACAGGTTCTATAAAAACCTTACTATTTTTCTTGGAACGCTTTATTGTGCCATTTACTTTCTGAGTTGATCTGTTCTCTTTTTCTCTTCTTTTAGTTCGATCATCGTTTCTTCTATTTTTTGCCTTACATTGATCAAAAAATGCGTGTTATGAAAGTACTTCGTTTGCCATCTAAGAAATTATTGTTTCTTTTGTGAATCACACGTAGCAACAACAGAAAGAAGCACATGATTGCTTCACAACAAAAATCTGCTGCAAATAGAATAACAAAGAAATCCGTGTTACACAAAAGTCAATGATTAATGAATAACATGAAAAGAGAGAAAAAGGCGAAGAAATATTTGATTTTGTTGGCACATAATATTGTGTCACACTATCACATAAATATTCATGTTTTATACGACTCTAAATTCATACTTATCTACCAATATGTCTACATAATTACTAAATAAATAGCAATGTTTTCTTGTTATTTAAAAACTATGTGTTTTCTGATTTTTTGAACACTATACAAATAGGTATTGCTTACCTTTGCCGTATTTACGTGCATAAGATCATATGAGCAAATAAGCGTTGCATTTTGTTGTTGTCAGCATGATGAAACGAGTGCTTGTATGTGAATGATGATGATGATGATTCGTTACCTATTTTGACGTCAGCGCTCTTTACGCTTTTCACCTTTATGTCGTTGTCAGAAGGAGGGTCGTTGTCGTTTCTTTATTTATGCAAGTTGTGTAGCAAAGAAAAAAGACAGAGAAGGATGATGTTGTTTTGATGACGAAGGAGGAGGATGACGACGAGGCGAAGAAGCCGTATAGTTATTTTTTACAAAAAAGTCATTAACAGAAAGAAACAAATCGGGTTGTTTTTATGTTGGCTTGTTTAGAGCAAAAAGGTTACTGGTGAAATGTAGATGTAATAAAGCTTTACTGATGAATTTAATGTTGACAAAAAAACACAATCAAACTTGTCTATAGGTTTCTCTCTCTCTCTCTCTTCTTCAAAATAGCACAATCAAAGATTCAAGGTTATAGTTTTATTTTGGTGTTTTTGATTTCTCTCGTTAGTTAGAAAAAGAAAACGCAGAATGTCTCCTGTGCAAATACCTATATATATATATAGTGACTGATTGTTTTTCAAAACACAAGATTCCCACGAAAAAAAACTTTGTGTTTTTGTACGATTTATTTAGCTTACGAAAATAAAACACAAGCTATAAACAAAAAAACAAATTCGATTTATCTTTCTATCGGCGTATGTTTCGTTTCCAATCCCGTTGCATTTCTTTAACTAGTCTTTTAATTCCAATTTTGACACTCATTTCATAGGTTGATAAAGAATCTGGTAGAAAATTTGCATTGGTAAAAAATGGATGTTCAAGATAATTATTTTCTAAAGCATCACTCAACAACTGTAAGGATTTATCAACAGCATATGCTAAGTCGTTTTCATAGGAGGCCCCGAATTGTTTGTATTTTGAACAGACAGATATAAATAAAAGACGAAGCAACGATACGGAAAATAGAAATTCAACTGCTACTTCAATTTCCGTGGATAATGGAACTTTTGCTTGTCCAAGTTCTAAAAATAAATTATGAACACAGAAAAGGAAACAGATAACAAAGATATTTTAAATAGAAAACCTTACTATGCAAATTTGACGCATTCGATGTTCCTGATCGTGCTGAATTCACTGAACATGTTGATTGACGGTGTTTATCCGCCGCATGTGCTTGTATTTTAATTGTATCCATCGCATACTTAGATGCCCGTTGAACATACTTTAATGATTCTTTGCGTAATTTTAAAAAACCAGTTAACAGCGATGAATAGAGACTTGGCTTTTGTAATATATATTCACATAGTTTCGCTTCAGTTAAACTATAATCAAGACCGAATTTAATTGAATTGTACGGCGTTAAACGTGTTAGTTTAATGTCTAGATCGGATTTAAAATATTCATTGAAATCACTATGAAAGCAAAGTGATGTGTATGCATCAGAGAAGAATTCTACACAAGGTATATCGAATTCAACTAAAAGTATCAAGGATAAAACAAGACTTAATTCAGCGTCTTGTCGATGATTGAACACTAATTGAATCGTGTTTCGAGTAAAATCAACATCTTTTAATTCATAAGCATATTTTTTTTCATTATTTGTTTCTTCGTTAAAATCACGTTTGAGAATAATATGAAGGACACGAAGAAATTCATCGCGTAGAGCAAGTCCATTAAGAAATTGTTTGTGTCGAATTTTAATTAGAAAAAGATCGATATCATAACGTGACCATTCGGTTGGTGTTCGCAGAATTTCTACAAAACCAAAAGAACGATCGTCACGTACTAACTTGCTTACTGTTGGCGATCGAATCGATTTCCAAATGATTCCACACGTTTGTCGACGAGTTTGCTTAATAGCTTGATCGCGAATAACAATTGGAAGACAAGTAAAATGAAGTTTTGGATCATACTCAAATACTGGATCGAGAAGTCCATGCTGAACAAGATTATCAATTTCATTTTGCAATATATTTTGTTTATTAATCGATAGAATACTACTATCTTTCGTAGAATTCGATTTTTTATCAATCGATGCTTGACTGGATGCTTTATAATGGTCTGTCATCAGTTTAATTTTTATGTTTATTAAAAACAATATGTAGCTAAGAATTTAAAACAAGTGCGAAATAAAAATCAACTATGTTCTCTTGTTTTGGCTTTAAATGATGGCATTAAGGAACAAAAAACATAGTCAAGCATTTCTTTCCTTTGTTCTTCTTTTCTGTTTTTCAAGTAAAATGATACTATACGTAGTATGTTACGTATAACATGTATACATTTCTAAAAGCAAATAAACTAAGCTCTCTTCTTTTTATCTTGATGTTCCAAATAATGAATATCAACTATGGACATCAAACTGTACAGAAATGTCCGCAATATAATGTATTTATTTATCATAAAAATCAAGAAAAATGAAAGCGAATATAAATAGTTGAATATTAAATGAATTCATCAACGAGACAAACATTCACATCGATACTTGCCTATAATTATTCTTAGAAAATTTTGGTTACAAATGATAACAAGTTCGCCAGCGTCGTTTCTATTTGTTGGTTTTGCATTTCTAATGGCATCCGTCATTGTTTTATCAATAATTCCACTTTATTTAGAAAATAGATCGGTACCAAAAACAAATTTTATTCTAACTAGTAAAGGATCTTTTGGTTTTTTTTCATAATGAGATTAAAAATAATTATATTTTATTTTATAGCTGCGCGAATGAATAATTATGTTTTACAAATGAGTCGGTCGTTAGGAAAACGAGATTTATTTCGATTAGCATTGCCATCGACTACGAAAGATCTGTTAACATTGAATCAAACTCAATCGATAATGAATTCATCAATTCAATATGCAGTAAGTTGTAAGAATTATAATCAAAATAAATTTAATTGTGATCATGTAGCTTGAGCAACAATTGAAAAATGGTGATAGTAGAGATAAATTTTATATTTATATATCACAAATAAGATCTTCTACTATCGATTTGAATAACATGAGGTGAGTAGAACAGAATTTAATTTAATTCCTATTTAAATCAAAATCTTTATCTCTAGTGTTTCATTGGATTTTCTAATTGTCTATACGCGCGAATGTAAATCATGCAATACACGTCGTCAATCGATTATTTTCAAACAGTTATGTTCAAAAAATCAACTAGCAACATCAATACGTTTTTCTATTCCATCAACAAATCTTTCTTTTACGCTTTCTGGTCCAGTCATAGTTTATACTCCATTTATTCCAATTGAAAATATAGGAATTATTACACGTACTCAATAAGAAACAGTTTTTTCGTTTTCCACTGATTTAATTCTCTATTTTAATAGGCCTTGTTTCTTCATCACAACTGGTTGATCTAACAAATCCTGTGCCGACCAATGAAACAGTACAAATCAGTGATAGTAAGTAAAAGTTGAGAATTCAAACAAACAATGATTTATGATTATTCTAGAGTTTCTTGCAAATAATTATACATTGATCGTGACCACAGCGAAAAATAATTATTTTGCGACACTTAATGAAGCAGATACACAAATTTCAGCAAACCAAAATGGTGGACCAGTTCCACTTGCAGGTGCTGTTACAATGTATGCTGGTTTAACAAAATTAGTAAGATGAATCGATATAATTTCTCATGCGAACGATGACTACTTTCAGTTTTATTTACCATTGATTTAATCTTTGTCATTAAAAATAATAAATTTTATCTAGATTGACAGACAAGCACAATATACTGATGGTTCTAATGCACTTAATATTACAATCAATCAAATCGTGCTACAATTTTGGTATAGAAAATAGTCAAGATGAAAATCAGTGAATATTGAAATTTTGATTTTATCTTCTAGGTACTCGAATAGTACAATTCAAGTAATAGTTGATTTTTTAATAACTTTTTCCACAAGTTGCGATAACAATTGTATGAAAAAAAGAAATAATCAATTGACAAATCAATTACAAAATTTAACTAACACATCAATACATATTCAACCGGCTAATTTAACCGATGGACAAGTTAAAATTTGGAACGGTAATCTTTATGTTTTGTATGATTATTCATTAACAACTCAAGTTATTGCAAATTTTACTGGAACAATTATTCGTGCAATACCACCAACACTTTCTATTATTTATTAAAACAGTGCTTTTATTTTGTTCGTATTTACTATTCATAAGATTTGATTTTGAGTAATAAATTTTTTCCGCTGCAGTTTTTAATCATGAAATCAATTTTATATGTGCGTTGTAAAACGATACTAATCGGACGATATTTGATGATTTGATCAGAAAAATATAGCTAATTTGTTTTCTTGCCAGGCATCTCAAGAAATAAAGATATAATTGTTTTAAAACTTAATTTAAACAAAACTCAATAAACACATCTAGTAATAGATGTTTGATGCAACGTATGTGTTTAGTACCTGTTTATTTCTGAACAATGCCAATTGTTAAGTATCATTGAAAAGCAAACGATTCATTTAAAAATTTTGAAATAAATTTCTTTGTCACAGCTTGTCTTTACTTTTAAGATTTTTCTTGTTGCTATGGATCGTCTATTGTGATCGGTTGTTTAGTTGGCAAGAATTCGAGAACAAAAAAGAATGAATTAAAAACAGACAGAAAGGAAGTCCAAAATATTTCTGTTGTATGCATACATCGAAGTACTTGATTACGATGAGTGTCCATGTAAGGTACGTAGGTGTGAGGTTGTATTCGTATGTGAAAAGAAAATCTAATTCACATTCACAGCTTAAAGTATAAGTAGTAGAGTAACCAACGTCGGGGCATTTTCACAAGATGTCCAGTTGAATGCGAGAATGTTCCATAACAAGAAACAACGAAATTGTTTACAATAAAATTGCCTTCTAAAGTCAATGGTGCATATGCATCAAAGAGTACGACAGGCTTAATATGAGTAACTTGACTTGAAATACTAAACTCATAATCATCAGTTATGCTGTGTAAGTAATCTTCAATATTCACTTCCTGTGCAAATATATATCTCGATTTTGATTCACCTTTTTTCGTTACCAGTAAAGAATTTGTCGGAGTAATGTGAAGAGGACTAGTTGCGCTACTAGAATTTGTGTGAATTTCTAGATATCGAACAGGTGAATCATTTTTATATTTCTGATAGATGTCTAGGCCAAGTAATGGACTTTGTTGAAAGCGAATTCTATTGTTTTCGATTGCATAAGCAGTAAGTAAAAGATCGCCTAATCTCAAATCTCGCATTTTCACTTGTGATCCATCGTGTTTCATTACGAGAGAACTACCATCGAAGCACTCTAAAACATATAAAATATCATGTTAGAACGATATGTACTAACAAGCCTGAGACAAGATTAAACAGAAAGCTTTCTATCACAAATGCAAAGACAAAGAAATCAAAATGTTTCGCGAACAAATTCGATTCACCAGCTCGATAGGCTTTGAAATTTTCTTAGCTCAGCGACATGCATAAATTCAATTTTCTCTTTCATGGGTGTCTTATGTGACTCTTCACTCTATGTAAAATCATCTAAAAATTCACATTCATGACCATTTTGTCGCCAGCAGCGGTCATAGTCGCTGTGGTGGTAGTGGTCGTCGTGGTTGTAATTGTGCTATAACCATTACCGGGATTTCTTGTTCCAGATGTTACGATTACAATCAAAGCTATTAAAGCCGCGAGGCACATCACGAGAAGTATGATTATAATAAGTTTTTGAGGACTCATTGAATACCAAGGACGTGGCTGCGGCGAGTCTGGCATTGGGACTTAACAAAATTGATAATTTTTATTTTACTTCATCACAGGGTTAGCTATGCATCCAAATTGCTCTAAAAATTTGGGCTTCTCTTAAATCATGACAGAGATTTGTCAGCAGCTTGTCACGTAATAAAGACTGAAACCGAATTCAATCGATTCCGATCGGAAGTTGTGAGGAAGCATGTTTCATTAAATTGAAGCTACCTTAGAGTTGTGGAATTGACGAATTCAAGCCTGTTTCAAAGCTCTTTCAGCTTAGAATCCTGAAGACGAACCTTGAAATTATAGTATTATGAATATTTTTCTCCAACTATAAGCATGCATGGATAGATCGAAAAATGTACCAAGTATCAAAGATTTTCCTTTAAATCTGCGTTAGTGAGAATTAAATCGCAAGATCTAATTCTTCTAACAAATAGACCATAGATATATGATATCAAACTGATACTTACTCGAAGATTCAGGTAGCACTTTGTTTCCTCCATTTAGTACATTACGTGTCCATGATGGGCACGACGTTCTGTGCCCATCACGTGCCAAAGCTATGTTGTTGTGACAATGAAATGCGCCACTGAAGCGCACATCGAAATAGTTGGGGAAAAACACTTTCCAGCATTTTTTTTTCTTTTTTATTTGTTTATTATGTTAGTACAGTTGGAAAAAATCATGCATTTAGGGTGTGAGAGTGAGTAGAAATATGCTGTGCATCTTATTGACACTCACCACTTCTCAAAGAACTACAAGTTACATCTAAAACAAATTTAACAATTCGAAATAATTGTTTGTTTTCTTTTTCCAAAGAAGAAAAGATTTCAGATGTATATAAATAATTAACTGAAAACGAAAAAAAAGAATTTTATATGATTATACAAAATGAATAGCATTAAATCTTTCGATAGTAATGACTGTCCGAAAATCGACCTAAATAACTATTCCATGTTTGCTTTGCAATCATTTGTAAATCTTTATTATTATTAATCGATTGTGTTGGAAATGAAATCGTTCGCATTAATAAATCAATAAGATTTTGATCAATTGTTCTATTAAAAATGTCTTTTTCATAGTTTGCTATTATTTGATGTTCGACTTTGTTAATATTCAATGAAAATCTTGTTAGAAGTGAATGTACAGCGAAATTGTCTAAGTTATGTGATGTTAATTTTGAAATAAATGTTGTAATATCAACTGTATCTAAAATACCATCACCATTGAGATCGCCAATAGAACCTCCAGATCGTTCCATAGGTTCAAAATTACTGCAAAGATTATTTTCATTATTCATAGGAGGATATATAACAGCGATTAATTGAGTTTCTTTAATATTTGTTAAATATATATTCACAATAGAATCGTCTAATCTGAATTGATCACAAGAATAATTTGTCGCCGATGAAATTAGATTTTCATTTCTAACGAATAGTAAAATAAATAAAGTTGATTAAAATTATTTCAAACAATTTACTTATGAATCTCGCCATCTTGCAGTCCAATACCATGAAATAAGATCGACGATGTTGTTTTATTAGAATAAAACTTTTCTGCTGTTTCGCCACGTTGTCGATAAATAAAACTATCTTGATATTTGCCATGTTTAGTCATTTGTAAAGTTAATGGAGATGTAAATTCGCCGAACGTGCTATTTTTTTTCCACAATGTTTCACCTGTCAAACCATCAATCACTAATGTTTCACTGTAATCGTATCGATCCCATTCACCTAGACAATAAATAAAACATCAAATTTTCTGTTGTCTTCTTCAATAATTTTCTACTCTACCATAATTAAGTATTAACATAAAATCAACAAATGAATCACTATTAAAATCACCGGGTGCTGGCGTAGCGTAGAATTCAAACCTCGGAAATATTCTTGTCCATATTGGTTTCATTGTTCTTCCATTAATTAATTCTAATGTTCCATCAAAACAGCTGACGAGTATATCATCGATTCCATCTTGATCAACATCAACAACAATCGGTGGTACCATCACGCCTTTTTCAAATGATTTAAATATCGTTAGATATTGATTGTTTTGTTTTATTATATTATCAATCGATATACTATACAATCCGCCTGGTACTGTTTCACCACCTGTACCAAAAAGTATAGTAGAGTTGCCATATAAAACCGGTGACATGTATGTTTCTTTTTTATCTGGCATCCAAAATGGTTCACCAATTTGATTTCCAGTTCGACTCGAAATAATCAATAAACAACCAGCATCACGTTCGTGTATCTCTGATGGAATTGTAGGATTACCACCATGGGAAATAAGAAAATCATTGATATGATCTTGATCAACATCAACGGGAAGAATAACTGGATTATAGAAATTCCATAATGAATGCCTTGTTTTTATTGTACTATTGTCCCAAAATGGTTTACCAAGGCGAGGATCGAATGCAACCAATGTACCTTGTCGTCCAGAACCAATACAATCTCTATAACCATCATTGTTAACATCGATAATATCGCACACGATTTCGAATATCGATGCTTTAACTCGAAATGACCATAGGATAGAAAAATCATAACCGCGTATACCGTATACAATACCAATACAAGGTGATTCTACATTTATTGATTCACAAAAAGCTGAACGATTCGTATTGTTTTGTAAATTAGCTGTGATTACTGTTACTTCAGTTAAGGCAACAATAATATCATCAAGACCATCTCCATTGATATCCATTAAACGAATGCATGACTCACTGCCCGCTGACGAAAACCATAAGGAATCATATTTCAACGTTGACACATCTTTATTGCTTGTTAGATAGATTGCAATGACACAAATAATAGGCGTAATCAATAAACTAAATATAACACAACATGGAGCACAAGTCTTTTCTCTTGCTGGTCGAACTGATGTATCTTGAATGAAAATTTCTTCTTCTTCATTCATCTTACTCAATCTATTGAAATAAAATCATACATAAAAAACCTTGCCTTTTTTTTCTTCTTTATCGTTTAACCCCTAAACACATGTCTTTTTTCTCAACCTCAAAACAAATTAATCTTCTGCTTCATTCACATTTAAGCTTATATCAATCAAAAGCATGTTCATCCTTTTTCTTTTCCTTGAGCAAGATATCGAACAAGTTGAGTTCTTTTTATGTAAGAAACAAATTTTTTATTTACTAAAAATAAACAGTACAGAAAAGTCCGTGCGTGAAATTCAACGGTTAATTTATATTAGTATGATAATTTAGTAGACGTTGTTGTTCGAGCACGACTTCGACGATTTTTAAACCAAACCTAAAAAGTAACTCGTTTTTAAAATTCATATCATCAATCAATCATACTTGAATGCGTGCTTCGGGAACATCAAGTCGTTCAGAAAGTTGTTCACGTAGTTGAATATCAGGATATTGATTCTTTTCAAAAACTTGATCGAGTATATCGACTTGATCTTTAGTAAATATTGTTCGTTGACGACGACGACGACCTGCTGGTGGAACTTAATTGACAAAGACAATTAAAAAAACATGAATTCATTATCAATTACGCCTACCTGATTCAAATGTTGTATTCAATGATGATGTTGGTTGAGTAGTTTGCACATGTCTTGGTTGACTTTGAACATTCGTTTGCGGCATTGAATATGTTGGTTGAGCATAGATATTTGTTGTTGAATTATTATAGAAAACCATTGGTGATGATGTTTGATCATTGTATGTCGGATAGTAATAGGGTGTTGTTGGAGTCGACTGACATGGATAAGATGAGTAAGGATCAATATAAGAATCGGTTAAATATGGTGAAGATGTATCATGCACAGGGCATGAAGGCTGATAGTAGTACGAGGAAGGTGAAGCATAGTATGGATCCATGTTGAAACCTCTACAAGTAATATAAAACAAGAGAAGATCTGAACAAAAAATTGAATCGATACTTAACCGTTTGAGAGTGAATATGTTCAGTTGGCTTTGAATCAAATGTAAGCGATTGTGATGTTGAACATCTCTATTCATAGTAACGAAGAAGAAAAAAAATTTCTATTAATTTTCTTCGCCAATCATAATTCAGTGGACAATCATAATCGACAGAAGAACATCAAAAAAGTAGAAAAGAAACAGACTAATTAATACACCTAAGCTCATCTGTTGATTGACAAAGATCAAAGAAAATAAAGGAACAACATGGCATTTGGTCGTTTTTATTGATCAAATATGATAGAAAAGTTTTGTCAACTGATATCAATCGAATAACAATCACAAGGATGAAAACTATTTTCAGTTACATCGCAGTAAATTTCTTTTTTTTTGACTTCAAGTAAAGTTATCAGATGAGATGAAAAGAGAAGGCAGCAGTATTACCGTTTAGATACGGGAACATGAATTCATACGTCGGGAACTGTTGCTTGTATATCTAGGCATGCAATAATAATGATACGGTTGATTTGGGGAAAGTGATGCCGACGAAATCTTTTGCTATTAGTTGACACATAGAACAGGAACATGTTTTTTTCTCTTTACTGATCATCATTGTGACGATAAGCCAATGTTCATTTTTCATGATAAATATTTAACAAGTTTTATTTTTTATATCAAAAAAAAAATAAAACTTTATAAATTTAACGAAGATGTGTAACAAATAAACAATTTGATTTAGACGACGTTGTTTTTTTCAAAGAAATAGAAAACAAGTGTGAGGATGGGAGAGTCATTTTGCAGAGATGATAATGATGATCAAAGAATATCCTTAATGTTTACTCTTCGAAAGTTTTGAATTTCTTGTTCGTTTCCGGACGTTTGATTGGCGCTTTAAATAATGAAACTGTGCTTTCGAGAATATAATCTTTTTCGTTTTATTAGCATATTAAATAATAGAAGATGATTTAAATTTTTATAGTCGAACGGCATGGAATATATGCCGCATGATAAAATGATGATCAAGGATGATATTTTAAAAAGAAATATTGATCAGACAAAGTCAACTGTAGACGAATCTGTTCTATGTTCTAATAAACGCAATTGTGTAGTAGACGGTGAAAATTTTCATCAAAAGAATTCTACGATAACTCAAAGACGTAAATTAATTCCTATTATTTTTCATTTTGCATCTGAAGAAAGCATCGATATTCATAAATGTGAATCGATTAATATACTTGCTGTCATGAGTTCCATTTTGTTTCAATTTTTTTAGCTGCATTATCAACTATTAATTCATCACAATTAGAGACTGATGAAAACGGAAATGAAATTATGGATAAGAATAGACCGAAAACTAGATCATGTCAATCAGAAATCATACTATCACATCAAATCGGTACAGCAGTTGAAAATAATTCATCATTATCGATATCAAATACTCTATTAGACAGGTTAATCAAGTTATAGACTTACTTTTTAAATTAGAATTACTACGACGTTTGAAGTCTATGAAAAACATTTTAATTTTTATAGATCATTAAGCGATTACAAGTTAACTACACTTCATATTTCACCACACAACTCTATCGGCTGTACATGGAAATAAACATGAGAGAAATTCAAAATGAAAAAAATAATGACGCATTCAATAATTCAGTATATTATAACTTTTCTTCGCATAGGACCATCACAAGTAGAGACGTACTAATATCTTTTCAATAGTCTCCTATAGAATTTAACCAACATTCAAATCTTCTGATGATATTATAAACAAAGATTATTAATCTTTTACTAACATTGTTAAAGTCAGCATATACTATCATTCTTTTCTTTATAGATAGACTTCTTAGAAGCAGACGACGTATAGCTGTTTTATTCTTTAAAATAGAAAAAAAACACAATCGGGCGTCCTATCGAAAGCTTTTCTCGAATTTTCTTTCGTTCGTATGCATCATTTAGTTATATAATCCATGGAACATGAATGACTTCATTTGTTCTTTTGTTAGTTGGACGTCTATCTATGTTCCTCTCTTTTCGACTATGTATAAAAGAGTGTATTTATCGGAATTTCTCCAGAAAAAACTACTTGTTAACAATCTTAACAGGCACCTATTTGCTGTATCATAGCAAATTATAATAATCGCTTAAACATGTTGACACGTTCAGTCTTAGTTATTGTGGTTTTGGCTTTAGCTATTTTCGCCATTGGCAGCGAAGGTAAAGAAAATCAAGATAATTTTGATATTTAGATGATTGATTACTATTTCGAAATTTAGCTTGGACTATCGACCAGGAAACGGCATGGCGTAATGCTATGATTCGTCCTTATTATCCAGTTTCTACTCCTCCACCTGGTCGTTGGATGCTTCGCTGGCGCAATGGAAAACTTTGGGGAGAGTAAGTTTCGGGGTGAAATATTATTTGAACCAAAATAAAGATCATTCTTTTCCTTTTAGGGATAGATATTTGCGTGGTATGTACTTCTAGTTTAATATTTGTTTATTTTTATTTAAAAACATTTTATTTGACATATTTAGCCAAGCGTCCAGTTTGTTTTTGGTATAAAGGCAAATGCTATTAAGACTTGAATCTCAAGTTTCTTTTTGCATTTATGTAATTTCCTTCAATTGAACCCTAATCATCTCCATGTATGAAGATATACAAGAATCGAAACGTGATCCATATTGTTAATTATCAATATTTTACTATTGTGGAAAAATAATGTTCTGTTTTTTTTCTTGTATATTTGAATAAATAATTCTCTCGTAGTAATAGATTTAGAAATTACAAATCTTAATTGAAACAATAATTTATATAAAAACTAATGAATATAATTAGAGTTTCTATCCACCCCTTGCCAAGAAATAAGTTATTCTATATTAGATCGTTACTCGAGAACAGATAACTACAGTGCACATATCAGAAACACTGTATGTTTTACTTCTGTTTGATGCACATGTCATTTCAGCAGTCAAATAATCTAGACATTTTAATTTATTGTGTTGCATGTCAACGTATTCAATAATATAGTGTGGGTGCGGGTGTAGAATAAGACATACGCACACAACGCCGACACCCATACCCGCAATATGTTCAATGGAATTTAGCCCATTCACGAGTACACTATTATTAGTAGCGAGTATTGATTCAATTATATCATTATGGAATTGATCTATGATAACAAAAATGTATGATGAAAAATGAATAGAGTCAATAAATGTAAGTTCATCTTCATCAAATAAAATACTTTTAAATAAATTCAAAACAAAAAAGACTCCACTATTTCGTATGCGATTTTCAAAAGAGAACGTTCTCTATGCTATTGGTTTAATCGATAATCACAAAAAAGTAATTCATTTCATAAAGATCCTAGCAGTTTTACATTCGAAATTTCTTTATACGTGGCGTTTGATTGTTTTTACAATGTCTAAGTCTTCTTCATTGAATAGAAAAACTTGTATTTACAACGTATAATTTTTCCATCGCGTCTCGATTTTTTTTCGAACTTTTCACTAAAATTTATCTTCATAGATTGTCTAACATTTTCAAAAAAATAATTATCAAATGTTCTTAATATTAAGGGTGTAGTGCTTGTTCTAAAATGACGCGACAACTCACACCCACACCCCACACTCTCAAGAAAGCTACTTGCTCTATCGCTGAAATAAAAAATGATCTCCATCAGATATTGTGGAGGAATTTTGAATTTTTTTCGTAGAAGGTACAAATTCGAAATTTATTAATGATCCATTGCTCTCATGATGTTGATTTATTCCAATGGTTAACATTAACTGACGAAAATGATGTGAAGATAGTCCGAACAATAAATGATTTAGAATTATTCTGAATGCAAAAATAATCTGATGAAGATTATGTCAAAATAGTCAAATCTGTGAAATGAAATGACTTTTGTTTGTAAACGTAACCAACCTCATAGGAGAAAAATCATGAAAAATTTGGTGAACTAATTTAATAATGTTAGATTATTCTGTGTTGAAATAGATGAAATTTTTACACTGTTAAAAAATCGAGGAATTTGATGGAAAATGGTTACCTTGCCATGATGAATATGGACACTTTTGCACAATTAGTGCTGCATCATTTTATCTCTGTAATTAAATAATCGAGAGAGGGCGTCAACTATCTGGAAGATTTTTCTATATCTTTATTGGTTATGTATGTAGGGAGAACGAGAAAAAACGCTGATATGGAACTAATGGAGGGAGTGGGTGCCGGATGAAGATATGCGGGAGGTGGCTGTGTTCAACTTGGTGGATCTACCTCCACGTTGAGAGCTTCGCTCAAACCTTGACATAGACACCTTGTAATCATAATTGCGCTTACACCCATACACAACACTAACATGATATTTTGGGTATTTTTAACCTTATTTACTTTGGTTCTTTAGATCTCAAACCGAAAGAGTTATGGATAAAGCGATACAAACCGATAGTGGAATAAGTATCAGTGGAACACTAGTAAACAATCTCCGGTTTGCAGATGATATTAACATGATCCAGGAAGATCGAAATATACTTCTCAAACAAACAGAACGCCTACAAACAGTAGCCACACAGGCAGGTCTAACCATTAACACAGGAAAGACAAAAACACTCGTATTTGGCGGTCCGAATATCGAACAACCGATACAAATAGCAGGAAACGTAATAGAGAACGTAGAACAATTCGAATATCTTGGCAGTTTACTCACGTGGGATAATA